GAGTGGCACGGGACGGAACGGAACGAGCTCGAGGGACGGGCAGGCAGACCGAGAGTAGTGGGTGTATGCGTGTGGGAGGGGTGCAGCAGGGATGAGGGATGACGTAGGGCATTGCACAAGGGGCGAGGCTCCAGAACTCTTTCATGGCGGCAGAAAGCACCAAAGGCCGTGGGGCTGGTGGGCGTAAAGGGCAGGCAGGCAGGGCAGACGGCGGGGCGGAAAGGGGCGAGTGGCACGGGACGGAACGGAACGAGCACAGAGGGAGGGGCTGAGCTCGACGGGACAGAGGGGTGGCGCAAGGGGCGAGGCGGGCACAGCACAGCGGGTGAGATTGTCCGAGGAAGGGCCGGCGGGCGGGAAACGGGCAGGGCATGCGCACGGACCGAGTGACGAGCAGGGAGGGGAGGGCAGGCACGTACCAGTGCAGGGCATTGCACGGAGGTGGCGGTGCTGTCGCGGGCGCCCCAGCGCGCACAGACCAGGTGACGTGCACGGATGGGCAAAGAGAAGAGCAGCGCGCGCAGATGGGCAGGTGGGCGGCTGGCAGGGCGGGCGCGGGCTGGCGGGCGCCCCGCAAGATATTCGAATTTCCTGGGATTTAAATTTCGGGCCAATTCCTCGCGGCCCGCGCAGCTCGGTCAGTTTTCGTCCGTTTTTCACTTTTCCACGTGACACGGATAGCCCTCGACGGGCGCTCTCGAGGGGTGTGGCGCGCGTGACGGAAAAGTGCGTCACGGTCATGGAAACAGGCGGCCAGCACCGTGGGACCATTCAGGTCAAGCGCGGGCAACGGAATAGAGCTAGGAAAAGTACGTGATTTGTATATATATCCCTTCTTCAATACGTCTACAACGTGTGGATTTAGTACAGGTTGATTTCTCCGTCGACGACCTCCTGCAGTAGTTGACGACAGGAATCAGTCCCAAAATAACGCACCGTCAAGGCCGTCGTGATCGACGGAAACATCTACCCCTCATGGACCGAGGCGCACCTGGTGTTTCACCTCCCCTTCAGCCTCCTTGTCTTCCCCCTCCCAACTCTACCGTCGACACAGTGGGACAGCCCTTCGCCGCCCAAGTTGCTACCGTCAGCGCCTCTTCGTCCTCTTCGGGCCCGTTGCAGAAGTCTGATTGATGCACCCCCGCATAGGATGGGGATATGATAACCGAGCAGGGTGGCCATGTTGTTCCCGATGTCTGGGCTGTCAGTGGACCTCGCTAGCTGGGTTATTTTAAGGTGCGTGTCGTATGCGGGGAAGGGTTCCTTCCGTCCTTTTTCACCCCCCGTCGTGCTCGTATCGCCTCCTTCGACCTTTTCCTTCTTTCTTTTTCCTCCTCCTCCCCCCTCTTCGAGTGGTTTAAAGACTCACACGCTCACGAATCTCACGACATAGACGCTTTGCACAACTCTCGATGACAAAGTCTCTCTTACTAGCTGCGTTGGCAGCTATCTCGCTCTCTGTTGTTGCCGCACAGGGCATCGTCCCACTCGCGGATAAGAGGTTTACATACGATAACATCGTAAGCCAGCGTCAAAATTATTTTACTTCACGTTTAAACTGATATCTCGTCGTTATTCATTAGCCTTACCGAGTCGATACGGACGTCGGCCAACCTCGAGGCGAGCAGAAGGGCTACAACATATGCAACTCAACGACCGAAGGCCCCTCCTCGTTGTGTCAAACCGCGTTCATCAATTCTCTAGACGGTATGTAGCCCTCTTCTTCATTCCAGTCGTACTTCTTCCTCCTCTTCCTTACTTATATCTTCACTCTTTATTCACCAGATTTCTGCCTCTGGGCCCCCGCCGAACCGGGACACACCGTCGGCGACATTGAAGGAGAGATGATAGCCTGGTGCACCAAGCCCGGACACGGCACTCGCGTCATCCCCGATGGCACCATCCTCGGTGTCCAATTCACGAAATCGCCGGATTATGTCCAGGTCGTGGGCTTCATGGACCAGACGAAGATAAATATGATAGCGGGAGACGCGGGTGGGGAGATGGACCCTCATGGGGCAGATCGGGTGAGTTATTTTTATGGTATCTCCTGGCCCTATATCTGAGACGATTGTCATAGAGAGGAAATCCGATGGGAGGGCTGCTGTTCACGAACGCATGGACTGGAGGTATGATCCAAGCCGTCGAATGGCACAAGTACGTCGCTTCTTCCGCTCGTATCCCTTCCGTCATCTCGATTCTTTGTTCGCCAGCTTCAACGGTGCGAACATATTCTGCCTCAAGGCATGCGACCCACGCGGGCCCCGCGCACCCCAAATGTGCGAGCACATCTACGATACCCAAGGATGCGGGTTCAATGCACCCTCCAACGTCCGAAACGGGACCTTCGAATCCTGCGCCTCCGACTCCCAATCACCCCCAGGCCAAGGCCCACCCGTCGCACCTGCCTCATCGCAGTGCAGCACGTATGAGAGCACGGCGATCTACGGTGCTAGCGCGAGTGTTACGGTGCAAATACCTGGAGCGGCGACAATGAGCTTTACGCCGACGAAGGGGGCTCCGACGACGACCAGTAGGCCGACGAGTGCTGCGTCGTCGAGTCCGGGCGCTGGTACTTCGGCGGGCGCGAGTGGGTCGACCAGCTCAGGCGGGCCAGCAGCGACGCAGACGGGTGCTAGTAGACGGGAAGAGGTTGCTCGTTTTGGGATTATCGGCGCTGTGGCTGTCCTTCTCGCCTTCGCTATCTAGAACAGCGGGGAAAAGGTGAGACAAGCGCGTGTTCTCCTCTCAATGTCGGACTCGAACTATTCTTTCGTTTCTCGTTTCTGCCAGTGGGGCTCTGTCGAACTTTGGACTTTACACAGGAACATTCTATTCGAATTTACGAACTTGCTTGCTTATATTTTAGGTACAATATAATTGGATTACTTCTCTCTCGACTTCGGAACACCCCACGAGATGCCTACTGGATTCTGCTTCTAGCAACATGCTAGAGGCTTCATGTCCATGGCTATTCTTCGACTCTTTCACTGCGCCTTTATAATCATCATTTTGGCTCTTTATACGCCGACAAGTTGAGCGACAACTGCATGGTGATCCCACCGAGTGTTGTTCTAACTCAGCGGATTATAAGCTTCATTTACCACCCTTGAATTCAAAGACCTTCGTATGCGAACATTGTTCGCATTTCATGACGTTTGTAACGAGAACTACTGTACCGAAGACCTCCTTTCTATGTGTACTTCATGTCTCTCAATGGTTAGGAAATGATTGTATTACAGAACGATTCACGGTACACGAGCCAAAGAAAAGATTCAGAACGGCGGACTATAGATACAGTAAAAGATAATGCACGAGTGTTCCGAACCAAGTTCATCGCCCAAGAAAAGATGCGGTACGAGAATGAGTCAGAATGCGTGGATGAGAACGTGAAAAGGATCGAGAAAGAGGAATGTTAGAGTCCAAGTTCTACACTAAAGAAATCCGGCACAACAACGGCGAGAAGGTTCTAAAGTTGTAACACAGATGTTGGAAGATGGAGCTGAACGGCGAGGAGAAAGGCAACGATACGACACACCTCTAACCTCTTATCGTATCAGCAAAGCAATGTTTTCTCCCCTCCTTAGCCCCAAACAGCGTGCCCAATCGACGCTATCAACCCACCACCCGCCTTGTGTTCCTCTGCGGCCTCGGCGTTCTTCGTCTCCTTCGCCCCTTTCTCATCTTCCATGGCGCCTTCGCCAACGTCGTACCCCGCTACATCAGCCTGAGGGGTGATCTTCGAGCTTGGTGCCGCTGGGCTGATGGCTGGCGAAGCTCCGGGTGAGACATGAGGAGAAACCCGGGTAGCCGTCGCTGGAACTGGAGATGGGGCAGGGGTCGCTCGAGGCGAAGTCGTACGCGAGGTGTGAGCAGCAGCAGCAGCAGTGCCAGCGGCAGGTTGAGGTTGCTTGACGGGCTGAGGCTGCTCGACGGGCTGGACGTACATATCCTCGTCATCGTCCACCTCCGAGTCGGTGTCGACAGCAGCAGAGACATTCGTCACGCTGGTGTTGCGGTTGACGCCAACGTTGACGTTGTGGTTCGCGGCATTCGAAGCAGGAGGGGCGTACATCCTTGACGGCCCATCCGCGTGCACAAGCCCAATGTTGTCTTCTTCCACCTCTTCTTCATCCGTATAATCAACGACAACGCTCCCTTCCTCGCCATCATCGTGCCCAAGGTCAACGACCCGCCCCTCCGGTGCCTTCTCCATCTGCCTCTTGCTCAGTCTCCTCCTCACTCCAGGTCCTTGCGGAGGTTCATCATCGACTCCAGCATCAACAGTCGGCCCAGCAGCACCCCCATTCCCATTACGAAGCGCAGGGCTAGCTACACGACCAGCCCCAGGCTCGCGGATGAGCGAATGGCGCGGACTCGGGGTGTGTGTCGACTCAACGACGGGCGAGGCCTGCTGCGACTGTACGTGGTGATGATGCCCCGCATGCAACGTGGGTGACGCATGATAGTTCATATTGGGCTGCATCGGTGCGTTCGCTGCTGAGTTATGCGCCCCATTCATCGGAGGCGACGTCCGGATGCTGGGATTCGAGTTGTTCATGTTGCCATTCGTCGTACCGTACGTCCCGTTCGTGGACGTGTGATGCCCGGGTGGGCTTTTCTTCTCGATCTAAATAAGATGGGTATCGTATTAACGATGTGCACGAACGAAAGAGAGTGGGATCAAGTACGAACAGCGTACCCGTTCGGGCCAATCTCGACGGGGTAGTTTTTCTCTGGATGGGTGTAGCCTGGGGGTGCAACCTCCTCTGCTTCTCCATCAACCTCCTCTTCCTCCTCCTCCTCAACGCTACTACCCTCCTCTTCCTCTCCATCAACCTCCTCCTCGCCCTCTAGATCCTCTTCCGAGTATCCAACCGCCCTAACGGCCGCCTCAACCGGGCCCGTCCGATCAACCATCTCGCTCGCCACCAAATACCTCGCACACAGCATCCTGATATCGTTCCACCACTCCATCATGTCCTCGCGGCTCCTCGCTCTGAAGCTCCAAGCCTTCGCGCCCTCGCCACTCTTTCCACCACCCAAGCTTCCAAACATACCCCGGACCGAGCCCGACTTGGAGGACGTCGTGCCCACACCGTCTTTCCTTCCCTCGATGTGGAACTTGTGGGCCTTCGCAGAAGGAGGCGAGGGCGGGCCGAGGGTGCACGAAGGCAGGAACAGCGAGAACGTAGGTGTATGCGTTTGAGTGGGGTCGGACGAGGCGAACGAGTGCAAGAACCCAGCCGGGGTGAGGACGAAGTAGCCCTCCGCCCACGCCCTCGTGAACCTCTTCTTCCGTTCCAAATGACCCGTATGCACAGGGCTCACCGACGAGTCGTCCTTCAGCGGATAGTTGATCGCTTCCGGGTCTCTCAGCGGTGTCTCCGGGTCGAGCAAGTGGTCCGAGCGAGCTGCGAACTGGATCCACTCGCGGTCTGGGGCAAGGCCGGCCATATGTCCTGCTAACGAGCGGAAGACGGACTGGGTGGAGGTAGCGGCGCGGGATTGCCACTCGTCGAAGGTCGCCCATGCCGATTGGATGGAGCGGACGATACCCTCTTCGAAGGCGGCGGAGTTTTGCTGCATCATGACGATGGACTTTTGGAGGAGGTTCTCTTCGAGGACTTGACGTTGGAGTTGGCGGGATACGGCGAGGTTGGCGACATATCTACAGTGCGATAATCAGATATCACTAAGACGATCCAACATTGGATAAGCATGAAAAGTGAGGAGAAGACGAAATAGCCATGAAGTAGCGCAATGCCCCGAGACGCGAGGATAGGCGGTCAAATAGATGAAATACTTACGGATCCTGGCGTGCCTGAAGATTCATAGGCGTATTCTTGAACGTGGATATGTTGTTCGCGAGTTCGCCGACGAGCCTCGTGGACAGCTCGCGTTCCTTAGCGACAGTCGCGGCGAGCTTGCCCGTGTCGTTCTGGACATTCTGCGCCGCAGTTAGCACCTGAACGACGTCGTGTATGACAGAAACACACCTTTATATGCGCCTTAATCTCCGCCCTCAGCTTCTGTAGGTGCTGGACGATGGACGAGTCGATGGTTCGACCAAGGTCGGCATGTTGGTCGGCGATGATTCGTGTTCGATCCCGAATATCGTAGTAGACGTCCTACAAGAACTGTAAGCAGATAAAGGAGAGTATAGACACTGAGACATACCTGAAGCCCACCATCTCCTAGAAATTGGTTGCCAGCTTTGAACGGGACTTGGATGACACCCGCGAGCTTCGTCAGCTCTCGCGACGTGTTGTTCTCAATGTCCGCGATGCCCTGGACGAATCGTCAGCTAATTCGAGCGCAAAATCATGTTTTTCACCTCGAAATACGACGTCAGCTGCTTCACGATGACCTTCCACGCAACAAAGCGCTCAATGAGGACGTCGGCAGGCTTAAGGTCCTGGAGCTCGATGTTCTTCTTGATGAGCGACTGATTCCGGGACATCGTCGAGCCAAGCGAGCGTGCGCTGGCCCTCGACGTCGCCCTGCTCAGTGTATGGTGTTCGTGTACCCCGTTCATTGTGTGCGGAGGGGGGAGAGGCGGAGACAAAGATCTGGGAGCGCAATGTTTCTGGTTGACTTTATGGAGAGGAACCGCGGAGTTGACGTCACGACCCTAACCCTAGCGCACAAAGCTGACCAAACAAAGCGGACGTGTCGCCGGCAAAGTTCGTGTCCAGCTGCCAGCAATCACCTCCTCCCCCCGTAGTCTCGTCTTTTCTTTCGCAATGTCTGGCGTTCAGAACCTTGTAATCTCACTCGTTGCCATGCAAGGTGCGTCAGAAGAACTTTGAGGGTCGATATTCGCTTACGAATGAAAATTTTAGCCGCTCGTCGGATACCCTTCGACGACCCGGACACACTGAACTTGGTTCGAGCCGGATACGTGGCTTCGCAAGTCATCATCCTAGCCGTGTACTACTATGTCTCGATGACTGTACGTATGCGAAAAAGTGGGGAATTTCGATCTATTCACGGAGTTGTAGATCAAAAAGAAGAACGACCAGACGGTGCTCAAATATGGTGCGTGTGCCCGTCAAACTATCGTTTTCACTGGCTCATATTCGTTGCAGTGGAGCCGCCAGCGGCTATGGTTCGTTCTTTTCCCAAAAATTCCACCACGGCCTAACTTGTTCGATCCCAGACACAAGAACCGGGGCAACTAGTGACGACGACCATACGGGACTACGACCTCTCCGAGACATCCAAGCTCGTACGTCTCCTATTCTCTCACCTCCGCGCCACTTTCTTATCGCTTCTATTTCTCCTCCGTGGCCCCTAACAGCTCCGTTCAGCGTATATGGGCATCGCCATGATGGCCGTCATGCACATCTACTTCAAGTTCACCCAGCCGCTCTTCATCCAGGCCCTCATGGGCGTCAAGAACCTCTACGATGCCAAGCCCGTCGCTATCCACCTCTTCAACAAGCCCGCCACCGGAGACCTCAAGCGCCCTTTTAAAACGGGTGGGATGTTCGGCAGTACGTTCGGCTATTTCCTCCCTCTATCTCCTATCCAGACGTCTTTTTCAACATCGATTTTTTCTGCAGTGGCCGCTCCAGGACCTCAAACGGACGCTGCAGCGATCGCAGAGGCCGAGAAGCGTGTTGGAAAGAAGGAAGAGTAAATGCGCTCGCTACGCTAAGTACTTACTTATTCCTAGACTACGCGTATCATCATGGGTGTTTGGTTAATTGCTATTTGGTACTGACTAATGCGACGCGGATTTGCTCCTCGCGAGAGAACCAGATGAGAGGTGACGTTTGTGTGCTTCAAGCATGAGGTCCGAGTGGAAGACGGAGGTTGGCATCATTTCGCGAACAAGCGCGACGTTTCGGCTTAGTTGAAGTACGTTTTCCCTATCTTGCCCCCTCCCTGTCCTAAGTTGTCGGCCTTTTCCAGTGATATAATCCACTATGCCCATCTGATTTCTGCCTGCTTTGTTACGGCTCCATCTACATTCACAACTTCAAGCCAAAACAACTTCGACACGATAACTCGAGTGGAGCAAGCTCGACTACCGCACACCTCAACGACGGGCAGGCCATTTCGAGGCTATGAATACCAGCTCCTCGACGCTCGCCAACTAATCTCCTCAACCTATTTATATCCACGTGCGCTGGAAAGAGATAAGTTGGGTCGAATTTTGGAGGGCCCCACGTATCTCTATCTTGGTAAGCTTACCTTGCCTTTCGGACTTCAAGACGAAGGGTTGATCTCTCTTTCCATATAATTCGTCTTTTGCAATATGGAGCCGTATGTAGCCGCAAATGTTTAGAGGATCTTCTTTTGCTCGTCTCCTCGCTCGAATGCCGAGCTGACATCACCCCTTCTTGTCAGTGGCAGGTATCGAATAAGGCCAACGCCTCCGGACTCAAGTTTCAAACAGAACAACAGTCCTCTTCAGACGCGAACATCGAAGTTTAGTCCCAGTCCATGCCATCATACCGATATGATTTCTGCTTCGCCCACGAACGGCTGCGTGGGTTGCCCGATCTGCTCATTTTCGACTTGTCCGATGCTCGATCTAACCATGGCCATTTCCTCTCTACAGGTTCATTCCAACTCTGCGGTCTGTATCCGATTATCTACTCCAGGACGCAGAGGACAAGTCACCGCCGGATAACACTCACCAATTCTCCGGCACGCGAACGTAATCCAGCACCGCAGGATTTGTTTTGGCAGAACTCGGATATTTCGACGGCTTTCTCAGTCAACGCCCTTTCGATGGGTCGTACACAACGTATCTCAGCGTACAGTGCCTCTATCAAACCAACGCCCCTCCTCTCAGGCCGCTTACAGATAAATTTCTAGGGATGAACTCTTCAACATCGATCCGCTGCGTCGCCGTCCGGTCGTTGTGGACAGACCACCCTCATCCGCCGGTCTCAATTGGTTTTCAATGCCAGGAGGGCCAGACGGACGTTATCTCCGCTCTCGGAGGCTCGAATTTGGAATTGCTTTGGTTTTCAAACTCATAATGGTCGACTCGCGTTGACACAAGAGCGCTTCGGCTCACCGATAAGTAATCCCATCCTTCGCTGCTTCACCGGGTTGAGCGTTGTCTCGGCGACACGAAAACAACAACTGGAGGCAGTATCTTCATTCATTGGTCGTCCTGCTTCCTTGATTCTCGCTCGAGCCGATAATATGGAACCCCAAATATAGCTTTTTTTGACTTCTGTGCCGTACTTGCCGATTTCTAGCTGCCGGTAAACTATCCCTTTCCTCCGCTCGTTGACGCTGCTCATCGACTCTCCATTTATCGAAGCTACGCACCATTTACCACTTCCTGAATGACATCTTTATCTGACGATACCTTTTTCTTCAACCCAATAAATCCCGCTTGCAACATATCTCAACAAGTCGAGCAGTCGCCAGGACAAGATCTCTCGTGAGGCCCCACTTCCGAAGTTCATTACCTCAATATGTGGTTCAGAACACGATACCTATCGTGAGCGATGTACGTTTCTGGGTGCTCTACATGGGACCACAACGACATTAACAACTTCGGGCACGGATCGGAGGCACTGTAGTCTGTAGGTTCGTGCGTCTTCTAGCTCTGCCCCTTATATTCGGTCTCAGGCTGAACTATCAAATGCTGTTCCTCGACCAAATCCAACCGTAAAACGACTGAATTTGATAAGAGGGTCTCTGTTCAACTTGCAGTCGCAGTGGAAGCGGTCAAGAGGTGGGTGGTAACTGTCTCCTTGAGACAAATACGCTCATTTACGCGCTGTTACAGAGATGAATCATCCGAATAATTTGAAGCTCGAGTTGGGTGTCTATATTCTACACGCATCGTTCATTTTCTCCTTGATTCATTCTCTATTTCAGGCTTTTGCCGGATTTTCGACCTCGATGGACCATCTTTCCCTCTGAGCTGCTCAACGCGATCTGGCTGCTGAATAATTCTCAAACATCCGGCATTGACGGCGCGTGCTCAAGAGACTAACGCTTGTTGTTCCGGAAGACGAGGTCATTGAGGCGGAGTACACGTTCGCGATCGCCAATTGTACACCCTGCCCCGAAGAGGTTCACCTCTCGCACGTCGACATGTGGAAGGTACTTATCAGCTGGGACAACGTCGAGGAGGCGTCCTTCGTTGGCATAACCATTTCTGACGCTATATACCTGCTGCAGACGGCGCAAAAGCTTCGGAAATGCATCTTTCTGGAAGTTGACGACGGCGTACACGATAAACTCGTCATCAAGCCGCCCATGGTGGTCAACTCATCGATTACCTCCTTACATATGGGCCTCGCATGTATGGATTCGCTGTCGGACTTTTGGGGCCGAATTCGGTGCCCAAGCTTAAGGGAAGTGACATTCCACTACTCCGCCCAACACCTTGCACCGTTCACGCAATTTCTGGCAAGTTCGAAGTGCTCCATCACCCACCTCTGCTTCGTCAGGGAAGATTGGTTCAACAATCCGGACGAGGAGAGGGAAATTCTGGAATTTTTCGCAGCCGTCCCGACGCTGGAGACTCTCGACTTCCAGGCTGGCCTTCCATCCGCTTTCTTCGACAAAATAGCGGCAGAGCCCAAATTTCTCCCCCTTCTGCGTTCTTTCCGCTACGAGGGTGGACGGCGGTTGACATGCCCATGGATGTCCACCATCAAAGCTGTCGACTCGAGGCTGACACTTGAAGCAAATGACGGACAGTCGGCCCTTCGATCTCTGACCTTCGCACCCTTCACATCTCTGACATCTTCTAAATTCCAGCAGTTCCCAAGCGGGCCATATCTCGAGCAGGCCACTGTAGCGCATCTTTTACGCCTCAGGGATCGCGGTGTAGAGATAAGGATACAAGACGGCGCCAGAGACGTGATCGAGGCTTCTAGACCGGTGATACACGGGATTAGGAACGGTAGACTTTGTCGCATCAACTAAAGAGCTTTCTTTTCTCCATTGTGAGCTATTGGTGATGGCGCCTAATTGCCTCCCTGTGTCTTTGGCGTCTCTCTGTAGGGATCCAAGACAAGATTGAAGAGAGGTACTATGTGAAGGCAAGTCTGCGCGGGACAGGCTCCGAAGATTTGGAGATCAGAATAAGACCTCTCCGTGGCGATGAAAGTACATGAATTCGCCATTTGCTGGTGGCACCCTAGGCTCCGATTTTCCTGGAGGGATGAAAAGTGACTATCAAATTCAAGGCCATCACTATATTGAATTGCAAACCATGCACAAACTGCGAAAAGAAGGTACGAGCGAGAGAGAATTTCCATGGACGATATATATTTGAGCCACTGACGTAGGCACGGTGAAAGTCTCTGTGAGGGCCGCGCGGTGGAAGTTGGACCTAGAAGGCATAAAAGGGGCGTAATGGAAAGTGGGTGCTGTATACATCTACGTACCTGCGATGGTCTCTCGACTTCCAGCCAACACACCGGCTACGAAAGGACGAACATAATTGAGGTTACGGCGTTAGACCTCTCGTCGACTTTTTTGTGAGACTTATCTCCTTCGTAATTTGACCAGAGATGCATTAGTATGATTCATCACGGGGGCGGGTTCCTCATTGCTCGGAAGCAAGTGTATTCTCTCGTTCTTTCAGCTCTTCTATAAAGTAGTCCATCGAAGTCCACAACCCCTCTCTTCGGCCGCGGACGTCAAATACACCCTACCGCGCGACATCCTTCAGCAACTCGAGTAGTCGTCCAGAGAGCATCTATCATCGGATGAAGTTCCAGGTTTGGGGCCCAAACACACTAACCCGTCATAAAATACAATACACAAAGCTCAGAGCTCACACTAACGAGTTGTAAACGCCATTGACACGCCGAAATACAATAAATCAGGTGAGAAGTGTCATAAATTCTGCCACCGCGTCCCTTCATTATCGCACTGAACTTCGACGCCCACAGCCTGCAGCTCCAAAGCCTTCTCCTCCAGCAAAACGCAGCGGCGGAAAATGACGCGGCTGAGCGGAGCGTCGGCGTCCTCGGAGCGCCAACGCAGATACGACAGAAGAGTGCCGTAGGGAACACCCCATGTGGATTTGTCGTCGTTGAACGATATCGTATGTAGGAGAGGCAGTGGGACCTCCGGGTAGGGTACGGGGGCCAAGATGGACGACGAGGGAGGGTTGAAAGTCATATGCGTCCCGGTTGGGGGCGGCGAATGGGACCGATGAGGCGGGATAAGTCGTAGATCGGGAAGTAAATTCTTCGCGAGCGTCACTGGAAGATTGATGAGCGCCTCGAGTCGCGTAGCTTTGCGGAGGAATGGCGCGAGAGCAGAATGGCAGGAGGGTAGGAGAATTTCCAGCGAGGTGATGTAGGAGACGAGTCCGTTATTCGCAGAAACTGGACCGACGTCGTTGTTGGTGTTGCTTAAGAAGGCAGGAGCGGAGAAGGCGGACAGAATGGGAGTTAGGAAGGGTTCCCAGCTGCTTGAGAGGTGCGCATGGAATTCGAGGTCGAAGTTCAATGAAGATAATGGAGAAGATGGACGAGGGTGATCCTTGTGGCGTTCGTCCGTGGAAATATAGATGCTTGAAGCACGGGCATAGAGAAGAAGAGGGAATGTGAGATTCTCTGTATCCTGTCGCCGTCGAATTGTCCTCTCGAGGACATCGACGAACGAACTCAAAACGCCCTCCATCTCCGCCCCGGGTTGCGCCTCAGAACACGCTACGCTCAGACTACACGATGCTGGAAGGATGACGTACTTGAGGAACGTTGCGACGGCGCCGATATTTCCCTCTAAGTGCAACGAGGCGAGGCGGTGTAAACGGACTTTGGAGGGTGGCATTTTTGAAAAGTGAACACGAGGCTCGGATAGGGATGATGCTGAATAGATGGCGTCTTTGATAAAGAGGTCGGTGAGGAAAGGTAACGTAGAGACGAGGGCGATCCACTCGAAGGCACTGGGCGCTAATTTGTGATTGGCGTCGAGGTTGAGAACGCTCAATGACGTCAGCGAGCGAAGGACAGATGCGTTGAAGTCCACGATGCAACCTTCGAGTTTCAGCCGCCTAAACTGCGGCGCGCAATTGTCGAATAAATTCAGAGGGAAGCTATACCACGGTCGATGCGTCTTCGAAGGGTGGAGTGGGACGTACGCGAGGCTGAGGTATTCCAAACTCGCCGCTGGCTCTCGCAGCTTTCCCTCAAGAACCTCCCATGTCTCATCCGCGAACCCCAGCCTGTACGTCCGGATCCTTTCCAGATATCCCAACTCCGAGGATACTTTGTTCATCTCACGCGGGGGGAACGTGCACGAGCCGATTGTTACTGGAAGAGGATGTGAACGGCGAAGCATCTCCTCGTTCCATTTCCAGGACATGTCGTCGAAGTCCATCAGCTGAACCCAAAGCGATTTGGTAGCTAGTGCGGCGGTCCTCCAATCGTGGCATACTTGAGAATAAGCTAGGACGGTGCGCCGACGGTGGTATTCGTCAGCTTCGAGGTTGGCACCGAGTAAGAAAAGGTATTCGAGGAGGTCGGAGCAGAGTTGGAGAGCAGGGAGAAGGCGGTTGCGCAGTCGACACGCGGTAACATCTCGAGGTTTCGTGAGCGTGTTGGTGTTATCGCGGAGGCTTCGAATAATAGCGGGCATCGTGGTCGCAGAGCAAGACTCCAAACCCAGAGAGCTTTTATTGCGGCGCTGCATGCGAAAGGAGAGCAAGGAAGAACGGAGTACGCGAGAAATGTTTGAATCGAGACTGGCCTGGTGATTTATGCTCTGAGTTTCGCCCGCGGGCAAAGCTTCGCCGACAAGGGTTCATGCGAGCGTTTGGACCTCTTCGACTCCGAAGCCTGGTCGACGAGAGCGTCGAAGGTATCAACATGGGAAATAGACCGCAAGGTGAGCAGGCATGTGCTCTCTGCTCATACGTGAGATGCTGCGTCGAGGGGAGCAGTGAGAACTTGGATGGGGAGACGGAGCAGAAATAGGGGCGAGGGCCCAGAGTAAGACTTATCAGCAGAATCACATGTTTCTCGTTCGTGGCGGTGTTTCTCACAGCCCCGCAGGGTCTTCGCATTGACGCCGTTCTCGTCATCGAATTAGTACATACTGATGGACAAAAAGGCAATCGCGGCGCATAAAATACGCGAGTGCAATTCGGAGGACCTCACCAATCAATGTTGTCAACGGTCAAGTGGACCTACAGCCCATGGGGATGAGCACTGTGTACCCCGAGTTCGATTCAAGCCTTCTATCCCAGGAGCATCGTTATATTCCTGCTGTCATTGAAAGCCCAAGATCGACTATTACGAGATAGCCGTGCCGTTTAAATGGGTGTAAATAGTACAAATATTACATTCTGTCCATCAAGCGGAAATCCTAATATGAAAGTTCTACACTGTACGAAAACGTGCTACCAAGGTTCGACAAGGTTCATTACAATCTATTACCGAAAGCGCTCGGAGCCGCGTTGAGGGTAGTGGATTTAACGGTGTCCGTCGTTGAGCTCGTGTCCGAGCCATTCTCAGACCCTTTCTCGTAGACGTACTCGAGGGTAATACCGGAGCGGTATGGCGTCCTCGGATTTGTCACGTCGTCCCGGACCGAATTTGCGTAGGCGCCTACCCTGTGGGCGCTACTACACGTCTGGTAAGATATAGAGCCTGTCTCAGTGTTGAATCCTGTCGGCGTCTTGTGACGGAAGAAGTCGCGCAACGAGTCGTTCGTGTCTGCTATCCACTTGAGAGTAGGTTGGTGCGCTGACGCGAGCAAGGAATTAGCGAGACTGGAAGGGGATGAAAGACAGCGCTATAGACGAGCATACCCTGATTCCGTTCCATATCTCTTTGTTTCTTCCGGTGACGCCTGACTGCGAGCACGAAGAGAATCACGAACATTAGGCCGATTATGGACGCCACTATCGCGATCGCGATTCTTCCCCCAGAAGAAAGTGCTGAACTGCGACATGCAAATGAATTGGTGGACGACGGCATGGGTCCTGAACCTAGTGTAGAAATTGTCAACGTGAGGGTATAAGATGGGTCAAAGGAGACGCACCTCTTGATTCACAAGGCCCAGGAGGGCTTCCCGGAGTAGGAGCAGTCGAATTAAGGACTATGACAAAGTCCAATATATATCGGCCATTATCCTTTTCATTCTTTATAACTAGCGTATGATTGTCCATGCTTAGCGTCCGAGAGGAGAAAAAGACGGCGCGAGAGATGTTCGTTTTACTACCAATTGCTGCCTTGTCCGGGGCGTACACTACGAACGGATCACTGTCGATAGTATAGGAGGAAACGGGCATGACTGTGTCTTCAGCTTGAGGGCGACGTAGCCAGCCATGGACCGAGATCGAGGTCCCTGCCATTTTGTGATTATAGCGAATCGTGAGCGGCAGGTGAGGAAGAACGGATGAATCTCGTACCAAAGAAGTTTATGGTAACGTTATCTCCCGCTCTCTCACTCCATGAGAGAGTTTTATTAAATGCTGCTTTAGTTCCATCTGATCCGGGTCCAAAATACTTCCATGCACCGGTAAAGGCCAGGCTCGGGTCGGTGTCGTCGAGCTGCATGGTTAACGAAGAAAAGTGAGCGTCGATGCTAGGGCGTGCGAGTGTGAAAGACAACTATTTAGCCAATCCGCTTGCTACTTCTTTCAGATGATTGTAACCCGACAGATATACTGGACGTGGCTTCTATGGGATCGACGGATGAACGATTGATCATCAAGTTAAGCTGTCATCGATGAATAGAAGGCCTTGTCCAACATTGGCCTCCGAACACAAGTCTCGCACCTGGAATTTCCCTACTCTTACTTCCTCCCGGAATATGCGTACTTGTACTTCTGATTGGAATTCAGGATGGATAAAGGAGGACGTGAACCACTTCACGTTTCTGGGCGCCTTTTCGTGTGAAAGAAAACCATGCGACGTCGGTAAATTCCGACTTCGATGACACTGTCGATGCCGCCTCATCTCCGTCCCATCATGGCTCCGTTAACGTCTCCAGTCAACTAACGTTGTCCTCGATACTCAGGACCATGTGGAACTCTCGAGTGATAAGACTATATCGCGAACCAAAAGGGGTACTTGTGGATGAGGACCATTCAACTGGCGCCAAAAAGACGGCCCGCCACCGCTCAGCAAAAATATAAAACGAGGGTCAGTGGGAGGTATCTAGAGGTATAACATGTGTAGAAGAAGCTGCTGATTTGTCCGCGCAAATATTATCCAAAGCCGTGTTTTGATAGAGTATACGCAATGGCGATGCAGATTGGATAAATCAATTACAGACTACTGACGAACGTTGATAGTACCTTCTAGCTGGTAAGATGCCGGGGTTCATCTGTAACTGTGGGAAGGTGCTTCGAAATAGATACTAGTGGAGGTAGATACATGTGGTGCCTCCTAATATTATCTAATTATGACAGGATGGTGCCTGTCACTGACTGTTGTCCGTCGTTGGATGCCAGGAGGTCGAGGAGCACAATGCGGCTGACATATCGCAAGAATGCCCACAGTCATAGATACGCTGGGGACCTTGCTGGTGCCGTAACCCTCTCGGCCATTAGTCGTAAGCTATATATATCTCGAACTGGGAATTTTTTGGTACTCTATATTGAACGCCCATGTCGCATACATTTCGGATACGAGAGGCGGTGTAACGACGGCAAGGTTTAAGTCGGCACAAGACCGCCATCTTGTGGCTGTCTTCCATGTCAACTGAGTATCTATCCAAAGCATAAAACAACCGATTCTGTTTTGAAGTATTCGACAGACAGCCTTATCGTGCAATAACGCCCAGTTTGGTTGGTCATTGAGTGAGCGAGACGCTGTCAGCAAGCACTATTATCGGCGGTCCAACATACCCGCATCTTTACCTCGAGCATTCAGGCCTCCCATTCCCTCATCACCGTAAGCGCTTCGTGAGCCATGATAGCAGCCATTCCATTTCGACCACCTCGGAAACCTTATGTATTTTAGAAATTCAAACGCGCAAACTTGTGTCCGAAAGAGAGGTGTGATCGACAACCCCATACTTTCTACTTGTCTCTCTCCACCTAAGCACTGCTGAGTATGGAACGTGTCTACGCAGCGGCCTCGAGAACGATGCGGGAAGATTGAACGGCAAATGGCAAAGCGGAGTCCGGACCGCGTTCCGACGTGGAAGAATGCAGGTCACATGATCGTGTATCCTTTTTCAACTTCAACTTCTTGCGTCCAACCAGTCTAGGATCTGACCGGGACCATTCACCAAGTTTTCACCAACGTCCTGACGGTAAGGTGAGTGTTTACGTCTCCCTCCCATTTTCTATGTCAGCAGCCCCCTCATGTTCACATTGACAGTCAGGCGTTTACCGAGACGACACATGAACATTTTCTCCTGCACCATGAGGCGCATTCGGTGTCCAGTATCCCACTTTTAAATGCGCACCTCGGAGGAAATTGCCATCTCCATGCCCAGCGTGTTTCAGGCTCGAAATTGTTGACAACCAAATTACTGAAACTCGGGCGCTTCTTGATCACCTGGAAAGTCACCGTACCGCGTTGGAAGAAGAAGTCAGTGCTTGTCATCCTGATGAACCACTGTACGACCTGGCGCGCCTCCTGGAGGTCTGACCCCGCTCCAAGTGCCCCATCGGGTTCCTTTCCATCGCCGAAGCCGAGTGCGCAGACAGCGATGTCATTCGCCTCCTCAGTCTTCTACAGAACGTCCCAACGCTCGAAGAACTTGAATTACACAAAATTTACCTTCACGATGACTTCTTTGCGCTCCTCGCACTCCTTCAGTCGCGGGATCCCAATCTAGGAGGCGATTATGTACAAACACCCGCGGTCCTACCCCGTCTCCAGACACTCCACTTGTCCATCCCCTACGGACCTCTCGCTTTTTCATGGTCCGCTGTGCAGCAGGCTCTATCGAAGCGAGCCGCTCACGCGCACACCGAAGATGGCCGTCCCCTGCTAGACCGAGTGGACATTAAAGTATCGGTTAAGGACAACGAAGAGGGGTACTATATCAACGAAGCCGGAGTCGCAATATTCGAAGGGCTTATAGATGAAGGGGTCGAAATCAAGATCCGGAACTCGTCCAGGACCGAGGCGCACAGTATGTTGGCGAATTCGAAAGCCCATCACGAGGAGAGGATGCGAGAGCTCGGGAGCGACGTCTAGTTCTCTAGAAACTTGTCCATGTTCAGATTCAAATCGATGCCCTTATGTTGAGATGGGACCTATCTTGTGTTGTATCCTTGACTTCGTGGAATGAAGTGTTGAGACCGCGATCTAGTATGGTGTCAAGAAGGTGATCGAGGAATTCGGAATGCCGCGTGTTGCACAACGGGATGAGATTTTGAGGTTTGAAGCGGTGACATCAACTTCCAGGAATTGAAGTAGCTTTCTCTTCTGGACGATACGAAAGAAGTCATGTAGCCTTCGTTTATAATACCGATTAATTTAATTTACCATGAGTTGACAAGTCCTATTGACGACTTCAAAATAAAATGTAGAACGAACGATGATTTAGACTGCTATGCATATGATACACTATAATTGCCAACACGACGAGCTAGTATTTTCTTTACCTAATATTCTACTCGTCTTCTATCTACCCTCGCATATTATGGTACAACATTGAACATTTGAACATTCTGGAATACGTATGGCATGCGTTCCAAAAAGGGTATATTGCGTTGCACAAAACACCTCGGCACAAGTCTCTACCGTCTTCGAACGCGATTCAGGCGAGGCCACGGACCAAGACCAATTCAGAGAGACCAGCGACTCTGACGTTCTCCACAACCTCCGGTACCTCCTCTATTCGCACCCATAAATCGACTTGGGAGAGTCTTCGTGAACCACTACCCGGGCGCTGCGACGTCCCAACCTCCAAGGCCCTCTGTCGTACCATCCACAGCACAACGTCCGGCGCCGCGGTGAATAGCTCAAGAACCTCCAACCTCGGCACCAAACGTCCGCTCGCTACCTTCTCCAAAGTAGGCAGATGCACGTCCACATCTGGCGCCAGCCTCAACACCTCCAGCCTAGGAACAGCGTCCAAGATCGCCTCCAACTCCGAGTACGACGTCCTCCTCGCCTTCGGTATCGGAGCATCCGGTCCTCGCATCAAACAGAAGTTCTTAAACTCGAGGTGACGCAAAGAGGCCGAGGTAGGCTTGAGTAGCGGCGTGAACAACCCCAGCTCCCACCCAATCGTCTTCGAGTCGAAGACCTCCAACTTCAGCTTCTCTAGAGCTGGTGCCATCAAAAGTCCGAAAAACTTGGGGGAGATGACCGGGTCGACAAGGACGAGCCTCAGCCTCTTCAGGACCGGCACCATGGTTTCTATTAGCTTTGGGAGAAGAGCCCGATGGCGAGCCTGGACGAATTTGACGTTGAACGCGCCGTCGATGAGGGAAGGAGATGCTCTGTTCATAATGGTGAGGAAGATCCATGGCGGCATCGGCGCGCTTGCCAGGTTCAACTTCGTAAGTCGACCCCATGGGAGCTTGAGGTCTAGCGGATGAATGCAGTTGAAGATGTGAAAAGTGGCCTCGGTCAGCGTCGTGTGATCTTCGAAGACACTGAAGTCAAGGCAGCTGATAGGGTCCCAAGTGAACGGCGACTGGCGGACGGCAAGGGTGTGGATGAAGGAGATCTCGACGCGTTGGAGAACAGGGAAAGTGGATGATGGAAGTCGGAGGAATTCCAAAATATCGTCTCCGCATAACAGGGAAGTGAGGGAGACGAGTCGGGTGCTGATAGCCTCGGGCAGGGTGATCGCTTGCAGGACGTTGAACTCACCGCCGCCGTACAACAGGTCTTTGACGGTGGTGTTTGGAGAAAAAGAGCAGTGAAGGTTATGGAACATGTGCAATGAGAGCGGCCGACCCTGGCTTAGCTCAACGCTCTGCTGGAAGAGGCTGAGAAGATGCTCCGGATGCTGGAAGCGCCCGGGCGCTAATCGTATGTCAGCCCACAACGACGCGTTGGAGGTGACAATTCGGCGCCATTTCTTGCAGACTTTCGAGAGAGTACGTTTTACATCTTGGTTTGGAGGTGGAAGACTTCCTGCAGGGGTCAAGAACCGACAGACGACGGGTAAGAGGATAGGCAAAAGGCGATCGTTCACGGCCGACATGTCTGTTTTCAGGAGCTAGGGTGTTTTCTGTACGAAGGAGAATGAAGTGAGACGGAGGTAATATATTGAAAGAGCACGAGTAACGCACATTAATCCCAAGATGCTGTTAGTGAATCGAAGGGCTAGCCCTACTTGATGCCCTGCGTCCACAAATACGGATGGGTGTCTGTAGACAAGAATGAGGGAGGTATGGAATGCCGATGGAACCTGCTCTTACCACCTATGGAGCCCAAACACGGGGTCGTCGAATGGTGCAGAGAGACGATGGGGGTGAAGGAAAGAAACGGCGGCGTCGAACGACCATCCCAGAGAGTTTCTTATCAGAAAGCTTGTTGAAGAGGAAAAGCGGCTCCACCGTTGCCTTGAAGAATGAAAAAAGACATCAACTTGCCGCTGTGTCAAGTTTTTCCCACAAAAAAGCTTGCACGACCCCGTGCAAGCCTGTTGCTGTCTTCCTCTGTGTTTCTACCTGCTTCCAAGGCGTTCCATTGACAAATGCATGACGAATATATTGTTTTTGCTCAAACACGAGGCGAAGAGAGGCTCAAATGGATCCCAATCGCGCGTCTTTCGTGATTCAGACCCCTCCGGGTCCAATGCTGGGGTGCGATTGTCGTTTGCTTTCTCTATCAAAAGCAAGCTTAAAAGTGTCCCGTCTTTCGGGTGTTCAATGGACGAAGGTGGCAACTTCCATTACAACTTCTGGCAGTCTGTGTCGACATCCCCCGGAGTAAGAGCGTTGCGAGCGACTACAAACAGTGCATGGTTCAGGGCGATATTATTCGGTCTTGAATTGAGGCTTTTCAGGCCCGGGCGTTTTCAGTTCGATGGGACCGCATCGTACGTACAAGGCACAAAACCTCGGTAGATACCTAGATACGCGATTCTCCGGCTTCCAGGCTGTGCTAACTTAGACACCAATTGAAGTCATCTTCAAGAACTTGAACACCGTCGCCGCTCGTGATTCTTATTTCAGCCTGCATCGTCCTCCAAGCGTAGGCAAGCCTTCCCATCGCGAGCTCGGTCCGTTTGAATTGTGTATTGGAAAAAAAAAAATTAAGCCTTTACCGACGCCTTCCTCAAGTCTTCCTAGCAGCTAGCAGAGGCTCATGACGACCTCATTCGGGGCTCGTGACTTCCCTGACCGCGCGTGACGTAATTCAGCCACGCGTTTAGGGGCCAATTGTTCTCTTCACTTCATAGACTCTACAGACGGGATGAATGCGCTAAATGTGATCGAAGTCAATAATAATGCCTCGCTCAATGAGAATATATAATTTGTGTCAGTCTAGATATGGTTCACGTCGCTTGAATATTTATTGTGACGGCTTCATCCTGGCCCCCCCCCACTCTCGTCGAGCTTGCCTCTCAAATGTTGTGGGGAGGAATAGGGGCTTAAATGGCAACGAGATAAGCGAGAATTACTCCTGATCGCTGTTGAAAAAATTCTCATCAAGAGAAGGTGTGGTGGACATGTTCTCCCGACGTGAACACCTCCTTCACTAGTGCAAATTACCCAACAATACGTTACCTCGTTGATATTTGCCAATTGATGGCGGTCGAAGACATTTCGACGAAGGAGGGAAGTGTGGCGCACTTCCCTCGCGTAATATATCAACTTCGAAGCAAACTCCTATCCATTCGTGCTGAGCTCAAAGAAAGTTTGAAAAGAACGTTGTTGAAAGTCACTACTAGTTACATTAAAAGAAAGGAGGGCGTTTGTTGGACAACAGTGTGTTAATATCCTCTCTGTGGTGGGTTCGGACCAAAGCGTGGCTAAATCATCGGAGTCTGGACACTACAGGAGGTCAGCTCTTCATAAGCATCACCCGACAGAGAAACACGTTGACTAACTCGTCCTCATGCAGATTTGGACACCGAATATTCGCAGCTGCAAGGATGTACTGTTGCGTATACTCCACGGTCCAAGGTAAACGATGGCTGTACTATTTGAGAAATATGAGTATCCGAGCACGAGATCCACGCGAGTATCCCTCACACGACAAAGTACTTACACTTCGGAGGATGTTATCGAGAATTCTGGCCGTGTCAAGCGCATTTCTGCAAGTGAGGAGCATGTATTGCGCGACATCCCTGCGTACTGCGTACTGCTGTCCATCGAGGATGTTGCGTATCGTTACACCTTTCTGTGAATGTAAAAAGTTAGGTGATATCAAAACACACAGAGGTCAGGAACAGCACAGATCCATTCGTCCCTCCAGTTACGTATATCATATTGAAGTAGCCATTGAGGGTCGTCTTCAAGCGAGTCTTCGCATCCGGGACAAGGTCCGCTGGAGTGCTGGTTCACTGGTGAGCGAAGCCAATATTAAGTGAATAACTGACAACAGCACTTACATTCTCGCTCTGTCTAACGCGTTAATCAAGACCTGGATCTCCAGAACGTGGTCTATCATTATCATCGTTATCAGTCCTGTAGATATTGTCGGGAAGCCTCCTACCGGCTTGGTTTCCCGTAAGATCAGCAAACTCGTCGAAGTGCTCTTGCACGACGCCGTTGGGATTTCCGGCTGCATCCCTCGTCTGGCGATAGAGATATTTTCTCTGGGCCGCGGCGCATTTAAACCACGGATCGAGTTCGAAATCGGCGCGTTGCCACTGTACGTGGACCTCTGTAGGCGCTGGCGAAAAGTGAGCGCGACCAGAGGAGGAAGTATGCGTCGCGTTGGTTTCATGCCCGAAACAGAGCGAGATGACACTGGGTGGGGCGTAGAGAGTCAATAAAATGACGATTGCGGAGATCTTCATGCTCGCAGAGTGGCTATGGGTAGGACGCTGAACATTCATGAATGAATACAGCATTTAAATACTGATCTTTGGGATCGATAGACGTCTGGGAAGGATCCTTCTGAAAGCGTACATTAACCTTGTCAGAACGTCCTCCCAGTTCCGGGGTTTGCGAGATTTGATTTGAAAGCCGGTCTTGCGAGTCGCCGATAGAATTTTAGTGGAGCAGCGCCCATGTCGGTGAAGTAATCAGCGAGAAAATAGAGCGATCAACCCAAAATTGGTTCAACACCTTGTCAATCACTGTTGTTCTATTTGCTTGTCTCCGGCGAAACGAGACGCCAGTCGGAGACTAGGAGAAAACAAGAGCGCGTTCCATTCTGCCTGTCGACAAGAGCTTAGCCGGCTAAGGAATATAATGGCCAGAGGAGAGTCCGGATGTATTTCTTTTGCTATAATCGCGTGTGGATGTTGTCTAACACGGGACACTGAATGAGGACGTAGCGGCACTAAAATTTCTTGTCAAAGTAGATGCAACAGCATAAGATAACATGAGGGATGCTCAAGCAGGATCCGTCGCCGCAGCAAGGCAAGGTCATGCTGATGCAATGTATATCTCTCCTAAATCATCCTCGCCAACACTGGATGGGAAAGCCGAGATAAATACTTTGACGAGGACAAATCCAATGCTACTTCACCGGCACCATTCTCCCTGAAAACCGGGGCATCGAACACCGACTGAAGCCAGTATCAACTCCTGCAAAGCCTGTACGGTCCTCGGCAGCTCATACCGATACTAACGTGAAGTGGTCATAAATTCGCCGTTCCAGAGAATCGACCCGAAGCCGCCACCTACCTGTTCGAGGATATTGTCCAACATCCGAGCCGTACTCAGGCCGGCGCGACAAGTGTCCAGCACGTACTGCACGACATCCGCACGCGCATTATACTGCTGCTCGCGAAGGATGTTTCGAATCGTCGATCCTTTCTTCATTATTGAAAGGGTGTTAGCTTACCGATCCGTTAGTGCCTCCAGTGACATAAAACATGTTCGTTAGCCCATTCAGGACGCGCTTGAGGCGTTCCTTAGCTCGAGGGTTGAGGGTAGCGGGAGTTCTGTAAATAAGTAGAAGTACGCGTAACGTACCCAAGATAATTGCAGTAGGAAAGCCGTTCTTACATCTCCGCTAAGTCCAAAGCGAAGATCAACACCTGGACTTCCACGACGTGATCTTACACACATACAAGTCAGCCTTCCACCGCTCAAATTGACAACAAGGAATCGAACACAGACTCACCAGCCTGATTACCCGTCAAATCACTAAATTCATCAAACGGCTCTCGGCGCACGCCCGTGACTTGACCAGCACCATCCGTAGTCTGCTGCTACAGAAAGCCTTTGCTCGCAGCGGTGCACTTGTACCACGGATCCAGCTGAAGTCGGCTCGGTCCCACTGGACTCGAACCTCCGGGTCCGATGGCAACGAAGAGGGCCCGAGAGCTAACTGGGAATTGGCCGCGTCGTTAATGGCCGCGACATCCTTCAGGCATGTTGGGACTCACGATAAGCTATTCTCCGCCAGGAATTGCATGAACGAACGATGAATCTCCGTAATTCCTTCGAGCCGTTAGTGCCAGACGGCACCGAATGTCAAGATTTGGTCGACAGTAACTTCCATCCCGCCTTTCACCCGGATCATCCGACACGTCGGTCGGTGCCGCATGAGCCAGGCCATGCATTCTCCAGCGCACTGGGGTTGTATCCCGCCGAAGACTGTTGAATATCCCCAGAGATTCAGCATTGGGGATCTCTTCTCAATCGCAAGAAATAATCCTGCAAATGGCTTATAGCCCAAGTTGAGGAACCAACTATAAATGCAAAATAAATTATCAGCAAACGTTTCCTTTGCATACAAGCATCCATCTATAACACAAATCGGAGGTTCGTACGTTGACCGACGACGGCGCCAAAGCCTTCATCTATTCATCTCCAACGAGCTCAAGCCTCAGTCCGCCTTCGCCCTAACGTCCTCATACACCTCCACTCCGAGCGCCCGCTGATCTGCGAAGTAGTGTTGTTTCTTCTCAAGATCTACACATTCGAAAATCACGAGAAAGTGGCATATTGTTAATGAGAGACCGGAGGAAATGAACAGAGGGTGAATGACGTACCGTGAGCCCACATCGCCGCCCCGACGCGGTTCGAGATCGTAAAGACAAGGCCGATGATGGGCAGGCTCTCGAGGATGGCTGCAGTGAAGCCGAAGACTAGAAAAGACATGTTGAGCAAAGATCTTCTCTATCATCTCGCACCACAACGATGACGAGATAGCGCAAGGAGAACGTACCTCGATAATCCCACTTTCTCTCCTCCATGAACACGGCGATTTGCGAGGGCGTCATCTTCTTAGCTTCGAAATACTGACAAGGGCGAGGTCAAAAATATGAGTATATGCGCTGTCGAGAGGTAGGAGTGAATGTGAAGCATACACGTCGATGGAGTATATGTGCCGTCCCGAGAGCCTTGAACCACGAAGTAACGGTCACACCAACGAAAGGATAGATCTGGAACGGCGACAGCAGCACTTCAAATAAACCAACGTTATTAACACCGAAGTTCCATCAAGAGCAATCCACCGACGTCGACGTACCATTCTTAACCACGAACAACCCAAACCACCCCCCAGCCCACTTCTCCAACAAGCCCTGCTTCTTCCCGTCCACCCCCAGCCTCGGCGGGGCCTTCCACTCTTCCACGTACGGACCCCAGAACTCGGGCCCCTTGCCCCGCGAAGTGAGTGTCTGGTCCCAAGCGCGGTCGCGCGCGATGCGGATGTTGCGCCGGAGGAAGAACTGCAGGATGTAGGTGACCTGAGAGCCGAGGATCGTTAGGGCCGCGTCTGGATGGACGAGTCAGTATTATACGTGTAGAAGCAGGAAGATGATAACGGAGTGCTCACAGGTGGTGATGCTGAATGGGAGAGGATATCCGAACATTGTGTCATCGGAGAGACCAGTTATGCGCGGAGAGCTGGGAAAGGCTCAGTATACGAAGCGAGGAGAGATGAGGGAGGTCGAGACGAGACATACTTGGAGAGGAAGACTTGAATGAATTTGCGTTGGATCGAGAATGTAAGGAAAGCCTGTTACGAGCAGATATCAGCTGAACGTGTCATAGAGATGGAGTAGTGAGATAGATAGATGAAAGAGTGCACCAATGGTGTCGTTCGTCAACGTACTTCCGGTGTTGAGGCCCATCTCCGAAGAACTGAAACCATGGCACAATACCCCCGGAGGCTCAAATCCATCAGCCCCACAGAAATAAAGCGCTTGAATATGAGAATACATGGCCTTCTAATCGCAACAACCCCAACAAAAAGGCGGCCTTTCATCATGGCCAGCCTTCCTCACCACCGTTCACCGCACAAACCCGTTCATTCCACAAAGGCAGAGCACGTACCCATATCGCACCAACAATCGCCCCTCTTCTCGTCGCGTGCTTACACTTATCCCATGCCGGCTTGTACAGCAGCGGGTCGGTGAAGAGCCGGTACACGCCGACAAGGACGTAGGAAGGCGGGAACTCCATGCGCAGCGTGGCTCTTGTCAACGACTTCGGGACCTGAGTAGACGACGTCTTCTCGAACAGAGCATCTTGCGCGTCAGGACCACCTGCGGTGAGCGACATTTTGAGGGTGGGTGAAGAGGAAGAACGTGGTATGTGGTAGCATGGACGATGCCGCCGGCGATGAATGAACCGCAGCTGTGGCTGTGCTCTAAAGGCGGCAGCTCCGGTCCGCAGCTGGGGAGACGCCGACCAATCGATGTTCAGAGGGACCGTCCAGAACACGCTCATGCAGAAAAAAAGGGACTTGTCATAATCAGTAACTTATTCAGAGAGGATTCGTTGTCGTCTAACCCATTCATCCACAAGAATTTCTTGAAGGAATGACAATACGTGCATGCCCACACCAAAATTTATACTCTACTCCGAGCCCTCTCTTCCGCGGTGAGAGAGAGAACCATTTAAATTCTACGTATTCAATTGCTAATCTTTATCACGGTCCGCCCTAAATCCACCCAACCAGTTCTGTACCTTTCTAACGCACACGACGCTCAATCCAAGAACGTGCGAATGGGGTTCCCAAATCCACAACTCCATATGGGCCATCATGTATGCGTCGTCCAAGGGCCCATAGCGACTATCCGTCATTAAAGAACATTTTGTCAGAGTGGGTTGGCGCGATCGGAGGAGAGTTGCTAACAACCCGTCTTCGATTCCGTAAATGCGGTGGAGGGATAATAGGGTCAGATGAGGTAGAAGTACGGGCGAGCCATCGGGATTTTTCGCAGAGAGAGCAGCGACTATTTCTTTCGAGAAAGTCCCCACGAGGCACAGCCAAGAAAGGTAGCCTAGCTCGGGGATGGTGATATATCTCAGCGCTTCTTCATCTTTCATCTTGTGGTGCGTAATAGATAAAGCCTCGAGGCGACATTGAGATCTCTGTAGAAGCTGCTGTATCGACTCAGCATCCTCAGATGGCTGGGATTCATCCTCTTCCTGATCGTAGACCAGAAGAAGGTCGGTCAATGCAGGTAGCATAAGCCCTTCCATCAGCGATGCAACCGCCCTGGTACCTGACTTCAATTCCAAACTCCGGAGACGGCGAAGCGTTAGGGGGAGGCAATATGGCTGGTGCAGAGAGACCTGTGGTGGGAGAGAGGCATTTTCTTGAAGCACCTTGCCGCTGAATACTTTCAGCTTCGGCAAACACGCCAAGACGTCCAACATTGTGTTCACGGCCAGACCGAACCCAATTTGAACCGACGCCAAGTCGCGAAACGGCGTATTACGTGGAAATACATTTCCATTGTAACACCACTCCCAAGCGACGTGAAGGAGCTTCGGCGAGGAGTAAAAAAAGGACCATATGTCGTCAAAATACGGCTTTATTTCTTCCAGAGTTCGAGCCACGAATTTGACGCCGTCGAGCTCATGCATATCGCCGCCGTTTTCAGATGCAAAGTAATCGTATTCTTCCTCGATTTGAGACCGATACCGCACGGATCTTAGCATTTCACAGGTGTCCGCTATCTGGCATGCTTCGGAAAAGGCAGGAATCACCGCATTGGGCAATCTGAAATCAATCTCACGCCACACGCGCGACCTTTCCAAAAGCATGGTCATTATCTTCCACGTCGCGTTGATATTCCCCTGCGAAATCAGCGTCAAGCTCAATGGGAATCCGTTGGAGCGCTCGAGCCAGAGGTGTGTACGATGGACATGGTATTTGGATGGGTGTTTGATGAAAGTTGTGCACCAAAGCGGGCGAAAAGCTACAGCGACCTCTCTCCAACTTGAGCAGACCTGCGCGAGAATGGTAGGATCCGCTGGAGAGTTGTTGTATACAAGTGGTCGAAGACGGCCCTGGCGCTCCGCTACGGGGTTAGGGATGAGATGAACGTAGTCGTGGACAACCCGATGGAATATTTGGCAGAACAGCTCGCAAGGAAGGCGAAATACAGGCTTCTTCATGTTTTCCTCGCGTCGTCTATGCACCTCATAGGATACAGCAGAACAGTGTAGTGAAGCACGAACGTCGTCGCCTATCTTGTCTGTGAGATACGACCGTCTACTGAAGCAAGACATTCTTACCATGTGTATTGTCTGGGGGAATAGCATGACCCTCGGACATTTCACTTCGGGTGATACGGAAGGCTGTCCTACTACGGGGACTTTATGAAGCTGAGTTGTTTTCAGGGCTGTGGCTGTCCTTTTATCTCTATCGGAACAATAAGTTTTAACATTCTGAGCGAATACAAACAGGACCCACTCGTTTCTCAGCGTGAGATCCATCGGAACGCCACACAACAAGCTATTATTCTAAAGGGCTAAAAAGCAGCCCCTGTGGATTCAGATCTTTCTTATGACTACACTTGAAGTGTACCGATACCTGAGATGAGTTGGGTAGGTTATATAAATGACTATGAGATATGCATCGCTGGCGCCGTGCAGCTTCAGGTAAAGCCGGAGGCTGTCTTTACTAATCTACGTAGCTAAATCTGGACGCGTAGAATGGTGGTTTCGTGAAGGAGTTTGTCTTGCTAATTTCAATTCCGCCCGTTGTAGTACAAGTCATTACATATTTCGGTAGATCTTGCGAGATCGCTGTCATCTAAATTGCATTTACTGAGAAATGCATTTTAGTTCTCACCCACAGAGAGGCTTATTGTCCAAGAACCGCAGGGAGACGAGGACCTACAAGTTCGCTCATGTCTTGGCGGAATGTTAAGCGCACAAGAGTGAAGCTTTCATGAATCGAGAGAATTGCGGATATGGAAATCAAAGGCGATGGGAAACAACGCCTTCGAAACCCTTACTTACCCTTACCCACCCCGCATCCGCATATACTCTCCATAATTTCTTCGCCGGCGCATCACACTAACGTCCACTACCGCCTCCACATCCCCCCCTTCATACAACCCCTTCACAAACTCGGACACGTTTTCGTACTTCCCCTTCTCTCTACCTCCATTTTTGAACGCGCGCCGGTAACGCTCGAACGTCGCCTCTATATGCGTGTGGGTGTCGATTAGCGGTAAGGCAGACGGTAGTGAAGGCAATAGAAGGTTGGACTTAGACGATGTGCGCTGCGAGCGGGCTGTGCCGGTGGTACTGAGAGCTGGAGCTGGATCCAGCGATTTGAGACAGTGACAGTCGAAAAGAGCGGGTTCTGGGGTGTAAATTGGGGAAAGAGATAAATCCCGGAAGGTGTCATATAAGACGGTGTTCGAGCGCTTCGAGAAGGAAATCGATGCCCCGGTTCCAACAAGAAGGGCGCACGTAATAACGAGAATGATGCCGGAAAACTGTTCATTGTGCTCATATAGCTGCAACGACACCCGTAATACTGCGACAATCTTCGAGTCACCGGAAACTAGGCCCCACTTTCCTTCCCTTTCTTGGCATCTCGGTGCATTACTTCAGCGCGCATCTCTGCCCTTACCTCCGCTCGTGCTTCTGCCCTAGTCACCTCAGTAACAACCACACGTACCAGCTCTGCTTGTATCCGAGAGGCGATTGCCTCCGCCAACCCCCCCTTCTCTCTAAACAGCATCTCTCTCACCTCCGTAACGATATCTTTACGTGCCCGAGCGATCTCTTCTCGGATTTGTGCGAGTTGCACACGCGTGAAGTGCGCTTCAGGTTGGGATGATGAGGGCGTCTCATCCGAAGCGGAGTCAGGTGTAGACTCGGGTTCCAACGGACGCCGGCTCGAGATGGACGTCGTGTCTAAGATATGGTCAGCAACGGGGATGGCACATAATCAGTGGGAAAATACCCGGTGAATCCTCACTTCCCGACATCGCGCTCCTAGAGTCTACATCCCAAAGATAATTAGGCGACATCGGCGGCTCAGCGCGAAGCCTCCTCACCCTGTCCATCCTGCGCAGGCATGTCCGACATGTTCAGGCGAGACGCTGACGAATGGTGTTGTTGGTGTCGGGAGGAGCGACGGGTTCGGCGAAGTGCAAAGAGATGAGGAACGAGGTGGGGGAGGAAGACAGGCGTGTCTTGTGGGTTCTGGTTCGTCATGTCCTTTCGTCCGTATGGCTCTTATACTGATAGTGAGGGAGAGAAACGGGTGCCGGCCAAGTTGCGAAACAAATCTCCTGAACCGCTCGCCTCCTATTTGGCTCCAATTGTTAGTCGAGTCATGACGACGCTCCAATCTTCCAACTCGGATTCATGGAGGACGACGGTAATCCGCAGTAGGTGAATTAATATGATTTTTAGTTCCACTACAAGCACCAGCGATTGGCACAAAGCCATCTTCAGGCTGAGAGCGCGAGTATACTAGATCGTGGCAGTGCGTCGCCATAATGCGTCAGAGCTCATCGTCATAAACCTTCCTCGCATTCTCCCTCGACGCTCTCATAACCTCATCTGCACTCCACACCACCTCCGCCTCCTTCAGCTCACCCCCGTCCTCTTTCCTCCTCCCCAAAGCCTCATTCGCTACCTCCGCAACGAACTTGGCCGTCCATGGGATCATCGCACTATGTGATATCGGGAGCTTCTTCCCCCTGAGGGCGGGCTCGGCATAGATGTTGGAGGGCGTCATGAATGGGGCGTCTGTCTCGAGCAAGATGCGTAGAGAAGGGGTGGGCGAAGGAGAAGGAGAGGCGGTGGATGCGTCGGAGTTAGAGAGGTCTACGTTAGGCGATTGTGGCGCAGCCGTGACCATATTCTGGATCACGGCCGCTGTGTTGGCGTTCGTTCCATATGTTATCACGCCTGCGAATGAACCACGTAAACTCCCAATTAAATTTACGGACCTGAATGGAATGGACGAACCTGTAATCCCAATATACAAATTCGGGAAATGCTCCAAGAGACGAGCAGCAAACTCAGGCGTATCGCTAAAACAATGAACGTGTATCTACATTCACCCCGTTTGGTCAAGAATTACCCCAAGACCGGAGGTAATTACTCACCGGCGTATCCTTCGGCACCTCCGCCTTCAATATCCTCTCACAATCATCGTCCGCTTCTCTCGTATGTATCACGATCGGCTTCTTCAGACGGACAGCCTGACGGAGCTGACGCTTGAACACCGCCTGCTGGATCAGCCGTGGAGAGTGGTCGTAGTGGTAGTCGAGGCCGATCTCACCCCATGCGACGCAGCGAGGGTGGGCCATGGCTTCTAGACTAAGGGAGGGGGAGCGAGGAAGGTTAGGGATGGAAGGAAGGGGCATGGAAGGGAGGAGGAAACGGACATGTCTGTTTCCACGCGGTCGTTGTACTTCTTTGCATCGTGCCTGGCAGAACGGAATAGATTTAGTATCAAGAAAGAAAAGATCCAAGAAAAACGAAGCTCACGGATGCACGCCTAGACGCCCGAACGAGTGAGTTAACGCCTAAATCCACACGAAAGAACAAGAAAGTGACTCACCCATAGCGAACCAATACCCCATCCCACCCCATTTCCCATCCACCCCCGCATCCGCATACTCCCTCCACACCTTCTTGACTGGGGCATCACACCACACATCCACCACAGCTTCCACGTTCCTCCCCTCATACAGCCCCTTCACGAACTCGTACACGTTCCCATACTTCCTCTTCTCACCATCCCGATCCTTGAAGTGGCGCCGGTAATGCTCGAACGTCGCCTCTACATGCGTATGGGTGTCGATGATCGGAAAGGTTGACAACGGGGAAGGGAGGACCAGGTCGCATTCGGACGACGTGCGCTGCGAACGGCCACGGGGTCCGCGTCGAGTGGGCTTTTTGGCTTTGCCGCCATTGGAGTTGATATTGTTGTTGCAGAGAGGAGTTGAACTCGAGCTTGCGTTTTGAGACATTTTTCGCGAACAGCAACGGTGGAAGGATGGAAAGTTAGGAAAGAAAGAAATGTTTGAGAACGTTATATACGGTTGCCTAGTGGGCACGAAATGTGGGCGAGGTTGATGACAGGCGCTGACTCGAGTCAAGTGTCGACATGAGGCGGTTCGAGTCATGTAGGTAGACAGAGGCGATGCGATTACTCTGACTTGACGTTTTCGACGGTGTGATTCGATCCAGCGAAACCGTCAAGGTACGCCTGGATCGTAGTTTCTCAAATAGCACTCAATCAACACATTCATGCAGACCTGAGGCCTTGTCGTTCGCCCGGACGTCGACGTTGTGCTCTAAAGATCGTCATCGTCAGCGTCCGGGCAGTAGAAACCAGGAATTCGATGAACTTACCTCTACCTTGCTCATGAAATCAAATTCGCAAGATCCTGGCGAGCTGAGCTGAGCGATAAACGGTATGTTCGTTCGTCATATTGCGGAGGGTTTGTTCATTTCCTTCGGTTCCTCTTTTCTTGACCTTCCTAACGACTATTTCCTGAATTCTTGTGTTGTCTTCAGCGCTCGCTCAGCCTTCTAGGATCAATGCCTGATTCGAATTTGTCTACGAAACACGAATTAGGACTATTCCAAAACTATCCAGAGACTTACGCACCTCGAATCCACTGCCAGGGTCAGAACTGAGCAGCTGCGCTTTGACCAAAAATTTCGATTGCAATAAACGCTCTGGGTGGCGTCTCGTTGAGTTATAAGTAGACGGTGCCACTCCTCGAAAAACGGAGATACTGGGATTTTTCCAAAAAGAGAGCCTGCACCGGTGTTGAGCGCACTCTATCTTGTTCACGCTGCCTCCGATCTAAATGTTCGGGTCCATGGCAGAGCTAGACAATGAACTCGACGGGTGCGCATAGTGCATATACTCGCCACATAAGCCAGCTCCTATGGGCCATAGACTCAGCGCCAATCAGCATCGGCCTATAAATGAACAACGAGAGCAAACCCAACGGAGCAGCAAAGTTCGAAATCTGAACAAAAATTCGACGCGCATGTAGACCTCGATTGTCCGGCCATTCGTGATTTCACTTCTCCAAGAACGAATCTCCTCATCAGCTTCTTGCCGGCAGAAGAGTCGGAAACGCGATGAACGTACCTCTGACTTGGTTGTAAAGTCGAAATCAGGAGACAAAAGGTTCATCAACGGGAGGGTTAGAGGAGAGAAAGAGGAATCCCCAGGAACATAGACATTTTTTCGTTCGTCGGGTCACGAACAGACCGGACGCTTCTTCGTCGACCCCTCTTCTAGTCTTCACCTCATCGACGGAGATTTCCTGTTCTTTGAATCTCGTCCTTGGGCATTCATGCACATGGGCGTGGCCGCTCAATTGCTCCAGGATCTAAGTACACCCAATTCAAAAGTATCTAAGTACGAGAACACGGATTAGATTTGGTTCAAAGGGTCACAGAATCATAAGTACGCACCTCGAGTTCATCATCAACTTGGCGATAATCACAGACCTGGAACTTCTAGCGAACCTTACGATTTATTTCCGAAGCCAGGATTCGCCGCTGCGTTCCTTATTGCTTTGTTTCTGCTGGCAAACTCAAACGACAAGAGTGCGAAGGATGCAAGACATAATCGGGGCGAGAATGACGACTCGGCCTGAAGCAGCAGAAGTGGAAACATCGATATATATGCGCGGATTCTAGACGCTCGAGCACGTACCTATGCGCAGCCGACATCGCAGCCAACAAGACATTGAACAGGCGTATATGCGCTAATCGATCGTCCAGAATCTAAGAAACAGAAACACCCTACTGCGTTAGCACCAACCCAGAAGTATAGAATCACGAACCACCTACCTCAACCATCCCTCGTCCTCAAACCCCATACACCCGCCTCGCATTCTCTCTCGCGACTCCCATAACCTCATGCGCTGTCCACTCCTTGCCCTCTTGACCCTCCCCATCCTCCTTTCCCTCTCCTCGCCCTCCTCATTTTCCCCACCCTCTTGAATCTTCCCCATCTTCCTCTCTAGCTAAAGCCCGGTTGGCCACAGGAAGTTAGTGAGAACCACAGTGGGCGAATGAGACAACGTACCACGTATCCACCGCCACTACCAAGGCCGCATGAGCATCGGGGTGTCGGACAGAGGGGGGCTGACAGGGTCGAAGAATTGGGGTGTCTCGAGGCGTGCTTCTTCTCTTCGCAGTTGGGTAAATGTTTACTGCATGCTTGAACCAGGAGTGCTCGACATGGCCGATGGCGGTGGGAGAGAGAGAGAAGCCGTTGTCTCACTCAGCCTTCACACAGCATGCAGGGGCAGAGTCTCGCGCTGGGGGATGGATAGTTCGACTGACCGTGATGTGACCACGCAAGCCCGTAGAGAACGAGTCACAAGAACCAAGAGGGGGAGGTAGCGTGCAAAGTCAACAAGAAAAAAAAGAGTCCATCGCAATTGTATAGCTACTGTGACATGCATAGTTTGAAAGAAAAGAGAACAACCAAAGTGCTAGAAAAAAGACAGTCATCAGTTACCCCAAGTCGTACTGCCAAGCCTATGCCCCTGACTCCTTCTCATGCCTCTCTGCAGCCCGGGCCTCGGCCCGCTCCATGGCGACAAGAGTTATCATCCTCTCAAGCATGCGAGATGAAAACTTATCCAGCTCGCATACCAACATCGCTTGCGTCTCTGCTCTCTCCTTAGCTAATACTGCTCTCTCCTCGAGCATCATACTCCAAATTTCTTCCCTCGCATTCGAGAAGTGAGCATCCAATTCCGCACGTAAGAACGCCTCATGGGAGAAGGAGTCGGTCGCCTCGGAATCGGGTGTGCGGGCTAGGATAACGGATAACAACATGTCAGAGGGGATAACTCTGGAAAGGAGGGGATATCCCTTACTGCCGCTCTTGCCCGTCTCCTGGGACTTAGATGGATGATAAATGGACATAGGACCTAAAACATCATCAGCAATGAGGATGACATCGTCAATGAAGCGTTCGATGATTCCTCACTGTCTGAGGCTCCGCTGCGAGAGTCTATACCGAAGAATAATTAGGTGATGCCGGCGGCTGGTTGTGATGGATACTCACCGTGATCTTTTTGGACGTTCGACATCTTCGTAGGAGAAGGACGTTGTTGTTGGGGATGGGGGCGGCGACGAGTTTTGCGAGGGGCGAATAAGTGTGGAACTAGGTTTGGAAGGAAGACGGGGGCGTCCTGAGCGTTTTTATTCGCCATAGCGCCGTCCGTCTGCCTCTTATAGTGGTGGTCGTGGTGGCTGGGAGGGAAAGAAAAAGGCGGCTGGGTTCGATCCAACCTGAAACAGATTTCCTATTTCGTCCCGACGTCGTCTCGGTCCCGGTGTTCAGAAAAGGACCAGGCGCATTCCCTCTTATTTGGCTCCTCCTGTTAGCCGGGGATGCGCCAAGTCTTCACGACGCTGACGGGTATGACCGTGGCTCAAGAACTCGCCCTACATCTCCGTACCCTCCCTACGCGCGATGGGTGGAGGACCCACAGTTGGAATCGCTAGTATGGTGATTTGAGTCTGACATGTAAGCCTTACTGGACGTCATCAACGCGATGATCCACTTCAACCGATAGTGAAGACTCTAAACAACGGGACGTCGTGAGTCTTGCTTTCTTTAAAGGCAGGAAGTAGACGTCCATGTAGACCTGACCCCCCGTTTGTGCATTCGCGACCTCACTTCTCTACGGACGACCACTGTCAACGCCTAGCAAGCAGAAGGCCATGAAACGAGAAGAACCTACCTTTAGTTCGCTCATCAAATAGAAATATGAAGACTTAGATGAACAGACGCAGCCAGTAGTCGGTCTGATAAGACCCGAGTCCAAGGGAAGCCAAAAGACCTTTTCCCCCTTCATTGTATCGCAGAGGACTGGTTCGTATGCTTTTAGATATCCAGCGAATTTTTTGTTCTTCGAATCTCGATCTTACCTGGAGCGCCCGCCCAGTCTTTCCGGATCGACGCCTTGTCCGATCCCAGTCAAAGGTATCGACTTTACCTACGAAACGCAAATCAGGACTACGCTACGCGTCAAAGCGAACCAGAGCGACTTGCGCACCTCGGATCCAAAGCCAAAAATGAGGTAGGTAGTAGGATCCTACATTTCTTTCACGCACTGATGGCGATGTTCATTTCGAGGTCGAGATAGAGACGACGCAATTGGACGTCGGGCCCTGACTCAATGCTATCGAATTCGATCCAACGAAACCGGGAACGCAGGCCTGGTAGTTCATCCGGACGTCGACGTCGTGCTCTAAAGATGGTCATCGTCAGAGTCCAGGGAGTAGAAATAAGGGCTTCGATGCACTTACCTCTGCCTTGCTCATGAAATCAAATTCGCAAGATGCAGGCGACGAGAGCGTCGGCATCAATCTCGCAGTTTGGCGCCGGAAGCTCAAAGCGCGAAGGAGGGCCAAGGAGGAGGCTCTGGAAAGACGGGTGTGTTCGTTCATCATATCGCGGAGGGTTCGTCCATTTCTTTTGGTCTCGAGTAGCCGTGGAGGTGAGATCGACCGTCTCCTCGTCGACCGTCTTCTCTTCTTTCCATTACCAACAAACGTTTCCTGTTCTTTTCAGCTTCGATCTTCTCTGGGCTGGTCGGCCAGTCTTCTAGGATCGGTGTTTAAGGCAAAATCAAAAGCATCTGGTTACGAAACACAAATAAGAAAACACCAAAGCTAGCAAAAGTGCCTCACGCACCTCAAATCCATAGCCAGAAGCTTCACGTTAATCGAAATTCGACCAAGATAAGTAGACCCCCGTACCCCTATACGGCTGCGTCGGGTTATGAATAGATAGAGCAGCTCACCAATTCAGCAAAACAGCAAGATCCTGAATAAAATGCGATCTCCGTGCCGATTTAATCCTTCGTCCGAAGCTCGCTGTTCTAACACCGACCGTCAGTTATGAGTCAGCAAAAGAGCAAGAAACACGATGTACATACCTACCTCAAATCCACTCATGAAATCAAATTCGCAAGATGCAGGCGACCAGAGCGTCAGCATCGGTCTCGCGGTTTCCCGCTGGCAACCCAAAGGCTAAAGCTCAAAAGAGGGGCGCGGAGGAGGAGGCTTCAGAAAGACGGATGGTCCTTCGTTCGCGAAATCGCACAGGACTCGTCCGTGTACGCCTGGTCGCGGGCGGCGGAGAATGGTTAGACCGGTTCTTCAAGCATCAGGCCCTCTTGTCTTACTGAGATTGTTGACGCATATTTCCCGTTTTTCAGCTTCGTTCTTTCCTTGAGCGTTCGCCCGATTTTCCAGGTTCGACGCCCGACCCACCTGGACCTACTAAAGACGAATTAGGACCACACCACACTTCAGAGCTTCTCAAAAAAGAACTACGCACCTCTAGCCCATCATCAACTTCAGACACTTAACGACAACCACATATTTCGGACCTCTATACCTTGTAGGGCAGGGCATATGCGATTTGTTTTCGACGCAAGAAGTCGACCTCGCCTCTTGCTGGCGAATTCAAACGACGAAAGTGTGAAGCCTACAAGCACTTCTCGCAGTACGAATCATTGCTCGGTTTGAAGCCGCTCAAGCGGTCGAAACATCGATGTATATGCGCAGATTCTAGATGCTCGAGTACGTACATGCGTGCAGCAGATAATGCACCCGACAATACATCGAATAGGCGTATGTCCGCCAGTCGATCGCCTACACTCTATAAAATTCCCTGCAGAAATGTTGCATGAGCACCAACCCAAACCTAAAGAACGACGAAGCACCTACCTCGACCAACCTTCATCCTCAAACCCCATACACCCTCTTCGCATTCTCCCTCGCGACTCTCATAACCTCATCCGGCGTCCACGGTCCCTCCTTCGCGTCCCCATCCTCATCGCCCTCCTTGCGCTCTTTTTCAACGGCCTGATTCGCAACATCAGCCACGAACTTCGCCGTCCACGGCACCATCGCGCTATGGCATATCGGGAGCTTCTTCCCTTTGATAGCGGGCAGGTCGTCGTACAGGTTCGCGGGGACCATGAAGGGCGCGTCGGTTTCGAGGAGGATGCGCAGGGGGGATGGGGGTGGGGATGGAGGAGGGGTTGATGAGGAAGTAGGTGGGACGGAGGAGGGGACGGAGGAAGTGACCATGTTGCGGATGACGGCGGAGGTGTTGTCGTTCGTCGCGTACGAGATGACGCCTGGAGATCAACGACCAATCTATAAGTCGAAGAGTTACGAAAGAAGACAGGACGACATACCAGTAATCCCTATGTACAGATTCGGGAAATGATCCAACAGCCTCTGCGCAAACTCCGGCGAGTCCGTAAAGCAATGCACATGTATCTACACCCTCATCAGCCTCTCCACACTCCAAACACACTCCACCTCAAAGACACACACACCTTATACTCCCTCGGCACCTCCGCCTTCAAGATCCTCTCCGTGTCTTCCTCCGCCTCGCGCGTATGGATCGTCAACGGCTTTTTCAGCTTCACCGCCTGGCGGAGCTGGCGCGTGAAGACGTCCCGCTGGATCTCGCGCGGGGAGTTGTCGTAGTGGTAGTCGAGCCCCATCTCGCCCCATCCGACACAGCGGGGGTGGGCCATCGCTTCGAGGCTGGGAGGGCGGGTGAGTAGACGAAGGGGCGGAGGCAAAGGAGGGAAGGAGGGAAGGAGGGACGTACATATCTTTCTCTACGTCATCTGTGTACAGCTTGGCTTCGTGTCTGAACACCATAACTTGAGAAACATCCCGCAAACGCGAAAAGGCTCGCTCCAACTCACGGATGGACACCTTCCTCACAATCAGCACGATCTCATCGACCCAAAGAAAGCCCACTCACCCATAACGAACCAATACTCCATCACACCCCACTTCCCCTCCTCCTTCGCCGCATCCGCAAACTCCCTCCAAAACGCCCTCACCGGCGCCTCGCACCACACATCCACCACCGCCTCCACCCTCCTCCCTTCATACATCGCCCTCACGAACTCATGCACGTCCATATACCTCCCCTGCTTATACCGGCCCCGATAAAACTCGAACGTCGACGCTATATGCGTGTGGGTGTCCACGATGGCCAGGAGCGAGGGCGGCGTGGGGAGGAGGAGGTTCTCTTCGCCGGGTGTTGAGGATTTCTTTTTGCCCATTTTTGGGAGGGGGAGGGGTTTGGGCGGAGTGGGGGTGGTGGATGTGGAGAGTTTGCGAGCGAGGATGTGGGGGTGGGTTCGTTTGAGGAGAAAGGCGAGGGACATCCGCTGGATGTCGTTGACGAAAAAGTTAGAGGCAGTTAGAGTCACTGCCAGCGGAACCGTCGGGCTAGTCGGCCCGTATTTGATCTTATCTTATCTTAACTGTTGTAACCGCTTTCGACCCTTCGTTCTGTGACGGCGCTTATCGCTCGCGTCGTAGCGCCCATCCCAACACTAGGATCTCGTAGCAGCGCCGAGCGGTGAAAAAATCATGTTCCATTCCAAATTAAATTATTCTTGAGATAAGATGAAGTTAATCAGCGAATGACCACACATACATGAATATATACCACTACTCAATCACTCTGAAATAGATAAGCCTCGAACCGTCAAACCTAAGATAACTACCACGTACCACACCTTCACCGCCTCAAGTTCCTAACCGCCGTAACTACCACCTCCAAACCCCTCACCACAACCCACACCAGCACCGGCGCCAACCCTCCAACAACCACCGCCCTCACCACGGCGCTCTTCACCTCCACCCCCATCTCCTCCCGCACCCTCTCAAGCGCCCACCGCAACACCAGCACAGGGATCATATGCACATAAGTAAGGACGTACCCCTTCCTCCAACTTCCCATCCCCCTCACGGCCCATGACCGCCGGAGGAGGGAGGTGGCGGAGAAGCACCAGAGGAGGGTGAAAGGGAGGATCAAGGAGGTGAGCGCGTCCCATAGGACGAACGCGAATGTGTGCATGTTCGGGCCCGCGTTTGGGAATGGGCGGCGAGTAATGGGGAATGTGGCTGGATCGGGTTGGATGTATTGGGAGATGGAGTTTGAGAGCGTGGATGCGAGCGAGAGGAAAGCGTACGACGCGACGAGCGTGAAAGGGAATAGGAACCTCGAAATTCGTGTCGCGGGTAGAGCGTCTTTGATGCTACCCCAATTAACCCCAACGGCATACGCGACGATGCACGAAAGCGGCGCGTCGGGGAGTGGGTAGTCGAACGCCGATACAAGCGCCGAGAGGAAGGATGGCAGGGGCGCGATCGCCCCTTGCATCGTATTAACATACGCGCACACCACGAGCGCTATACCCATCAGAACAACCGCGCTGATAAACCCATCCCTGCTCCCGACGACGCGTGTTAGCCGGGGCGCGCCCATCACGCGCAGCACGACATACACACAGTCCAACACGACTAGAAACGCAATATAAGTCGCCGGACCGACCAACATCACCTCCAACTCCTCGCGGGTCCCAAACACCCCCTTCCCTTGCCCTCCCTTCCCTCCCGCCATCGCCGTCAAAACCCACGCCACACCCTTCCTACCCACACTCCCCCACACCAACCCATGCACCGCAAGCGGCAAGCTCCGGTGCCTGACGAACTTCTGGTCATTCCCATTCGCACGCGCGCTCGCATACCCCGAGACGAGGTAGAACGCGCTCCATAAGAACGCCTTGTTCGTGGTGGTGAAGATAGCTAGGATCGTACGCTCGAGCTCGGTGGGGAAGTAGGATGGGAGCGTGGAGGGCGTGGAGAGGGTGGAGGGCGTGGAGGGAGCGGGAGAGGGAGTGAGGATGGTGATGGCGGCGTGGTGCAGGACGAGGAGGACCACGAGGACGGTGCGCAGGTTGTCGAGGTAGTGCACACGTGTGTCGGTGCGGAAGGGGAGGGGGAGGAGGGGTGAGGATTCGCTGTGTGATGGCATACTTAGTACTAGGCTCTAGTGGGGTCCGGGGAGTACTATAGGATGTGGTGGTGGTTTGGAGGAGAGGTGTCGGAACGCAAGTAGGAGGAGGCGTACAGTATGTTAAATATACTGCGCGAGATGCCTCGAGGGATGCTGGCGTCGAGGATGGGTATTCTGCGAATAGGGCTCGTCACGCAGCACGTTCGAGTCCTGCAACATGACTTGTAAAGAGAAACTTTGGCCATCATGGTGAACAAGCTAAGTATAGCACGAGGAGACGTAGAACTTCATTGAACATAGTCCTCGCTATAAGAGGGGCGAGGTTTGACCCAGACATCTTAATGCCGCCCTGCATCCATGCACAAATAATTGCAGGCCATTGGGACTTAACGAAAAGTCGAAGGCAAAAAGGACATGGGATCAATAACGAGAAAATCAAATAATTATACTGCTCTACATCACACACAAACGCTGCGGATAAACCACGATGGATGCTGCGACTAGGTGAAGAAAGAGTAGAATTACGCCGCAGGTACACGAGTAGACTTTCACATGGGAAAGCTACAACATGGGAAAGCTACACAGCAAGTCCTAGATCATCAATCCACGACTCTCTACGGTAGCTCGAAACTGCTAGGGACTTCATACTTTCCAAGCCTACAAATAAGTGTAAATCATGAAAAGGAAACATTTACGAGCGGCAAAATCACAGCAAATTTCCAGTACACCGAATTTCAAAGCAGGGCCGAGGAAGAAATGCGTGAGCATGAGACGCGATAACACGAGCGCACGAGCGGTTTATTGAGCTCAAGTGTTGGACATCGTAGGATGGATATATTGCCACCAAAAAATAGCTCTCACGATTCAAACGATCTGTAGAATGTGAAATTACTCTCGCTAAATATCCAGGTACCTCCAGTCGGAAGGTGGGAGGATATCCGAGTTAATCCTGAGGCCTGAGGCCTGAGGCTCCAGCAACGTGGTACGAAATATACGATAAGATACAACACCTACAGCTCGAGCCGCGAGCGTGCGATCGGATCTAGGCGAGTACACGAGGCTCTCGAGTTCCAAATTAGGGTCACTCCCGGGACTGTTCAAACCCATCGTCGGCGACAAACTTGCAGAGTCCCGTTTCCACTACTACAAGTCTGTACTCAGTCCATCTTATAATGCCCAAGACTTGGGCTCAATCAACAGTTCCAGAGGCTTTGTTCATTCCCTTCTTTCTCTATTTCTGGTCTGTCGTTTCATCGTCTTTCTGTACGTTTTGTTGAGCTCATCAGTGATCTACGGTCGCCGTGAAAGAAGAATCCTTTCGGCTCGCTCAAGCCCCTTCTCCTTCGATTTTCCTGCCCTACCGAGTCTCTCGGAAGTCTGCGAACATCAAGACACTGTCAGCGTCGAGAATCATAATAGGGGGGGATATAAATACACCTTCCTGCAGACCGTATCCACCATTGAAGCCTGAAGGACTCAAGGTCGAGTTGAACGTCGATCCGCATGATGAATTATTTGACTTATGAACAATACGCCCCGTCATGCATCACGAACGACAAAAGACGCGAAAGGCTTAAATTTCTTCCCCGACCTACCTGAACAAAGACGCACCACTCCCTTACTAGTAGCCGGCCGTATGTGAAGCCCTTGACGCCAGAGTACCCCTGCTCACAGGAGAGACGAACAGGTAGCTGCGATGCTTGAATATATCTCCTTGCAGGTCTAGACATACGAAGGAGGACGAAGAGGTCTTATCAACGAATCCAGCCGTCGAGAGTCAGATCCGTGCGTCTAACATGTAAGTCACGTTCAGGTGCCCTTCAGTACCGTGTTATGACCCGTCTCGAAATTCGAATACGCGATCATATCGCTGCCCAACGTTGCGTGCCCTCTTGGCGGGTCTTCAACTTTTGATGAAAGGTTCTGCATTCGTTTGAGGTACACAATTATGTTACAAGGGTTTCATATGAAGCTACTTATTGCTTTTTGATAAACGATGCCCGCCGGCTCAACCTTTGCCAAGTTATCACCATTCTATGGCAGAACTCTTCGGCCACACCTAGCCGCTATAATCTTCCTCTTCCTCTCCGTCCTCACGTCCTCCCTCGAGCCACCTCCTCTCCAGCTTCACACCCATCCACGCCAAATAAATCCTCTGCATGGCCGTCATCATATCCTGGGTTGCACTGTCGCTTATCCACGCAAAGTCTCTCTCGAACGCGATGGCACCCGTGTGCGAGTCATACAGCTGCGAAAGCTTCTTCCCGGTGTCGACGACGACGAAGTGGGGTGGGACACGGGAAGTGACAGGTGGGAGGTCGGTAAAGGTGGGGGAGTTCATGGTGGGAAGGGGGACAAGGCGGTACTGGAACTTCGTTGTGCGGTAGAACTGGAAACGAAGATTTAGTAAGCGGCATGGTGCAAGGGAGGGGACGTACGCTGTTCGGGTTCCTTCGCACGTTCGTGGTCATTCCCGGGGTGTAGCTCGAGCGCGCTTCTGCGCTCCCGACAAACGTGTCTTGCATCTCGAAAATCGCGGTGGTGTCAAGCGGTAGCCAGAACCACCCCGCCGTCTTGGTCTTGGCTATAGAACCAGCGGTGGAGTTTTGGGGTCATTGTAGAGAGCACGAGCGTGAAAGCGATGAAAAGCGAGGAGAGATGTACGAACAAGTGCGCATGTTCCTCCTCTGGTTCAGCTTGAGGTGGCAGATGGCAATGTTCCAAGACCAGATTACCTAGTATGTCAATGAATTTAGTAGAGTAGTATCAGACCTGAAGTAAACTCACCTTTGTCCCTGGGGTGTGGGGATTGGCGATCCAATCCGACACTGCAGACCTGCCGTCCTCCCCAGGACCAAGCAGCATCCTCAGTTTAACCCGCTCCACTTCGCTGCTTGACCCTCCGGCTTCTCCTGCCCCTCCTCCTTTAGCAGCAGCAGAACTAGCAGCGGATGCAACGCCCCCCGCAGCAACAGCAGCAGCTGCCCTAGTGACGTTCCTTTTCACGTACGAGGGTAAGCCGTCGCTGTATCGGCCGCGGCGCGGGGGTGCGCGGTGGGGTGGGGTGCCAGGGGTCGATTCGTCTGAAGAACCTGACATCGTTTGCGTAATGCGTGCGATGGGGGAAACGACGAGCGCGTTGATTTTGAGGAGATGATCGATAAGGGAGATGTCAGGGAAGAAGTAACCGCAGCGGACGAAAAAACTCTTTCCTTCCTCTCCATGATCTTATCTTATCTTATCGGCATTGGCATCGTATGAACGTTGAGTTGAGTGCTGTCTCTCACGTCGTCCAAACCCCCAACCTACATACTTGGCTCCCACTACCACGTTGAACGTGCATAACACTGAACAGTGCTCCCGTATGCGCCAATACCTGGTTGTGTCGTAGCATAACCTGAGGAACCTCTGTGCGTCACGACGGTTCAAAACATTCCTTTCTTCTACTTGTTCTGCTGACATCCCCTCCTGACCTACCTGCGTCGTTCCATTAGTTTACTATGAAAGCTCTGCTGTCTCTGCACCCCCGCCCGACCCCGCCCAGCAGCTCGTACCAGGTTGGAAGTCCGTCGTCAACACGAAGAGAAGGGTCAACGTGTTGGTGTGGTATTTGGAATGGGGACAGGGTCGGAGGAGAGTGCGACGGAGTTGCAGTATGGACCGGACTCCGAGAACTCAAGGAGGAAGGAACTCAGGGAGAGCTCGCAGTTGCAGACGCCACGGTGAATGCGAACACCAACCCTATGAATCTAATTCCGAACCCTCGTGGTTTGGGTATGTCAAAGTCTCTCCCTTCCTTCATATCATTCGATTAATTCCCAGTCTTACTTATAGTGTTTCGACAAGGCGAGATACAGATACAGATACGTGGATTCAAATATTCAAGGTGCTGCGCGACGATCCTGGTCCATGGCCAGATGCCCTACTAGTATTTCAAATTCAAGGACAACCCTCGCGATCGTCGTCGTCGGCGGCGGTGGTAGAACCCTCCCTCCCTCCCTCGAGGCGTTTCACGCGATATATTTATCTGACATACACCTCCGAGTCCAAGCGCTAACACCGCTCTTCCACCCACCGCAACATCCTATATGCCCTCCCACACCGAGTCCTCGCCCCTCCTCCCCCTTCCGAGCCCCGTCTTCACACCAACCCGCGTATACTACCTAGACAACCTCCGCACGGTCCTCGTCGCCCTCCTTATCGTGCACCATGCTGCCCTTACCAGTACTGCCTCCGCTTCCTCTGAATCCGGGTCCGTCGAGCGTAGGATTGAGCAGAGGATACTGGGTGTATTCACGACTACGAACGAGGCGTTCCTATGGAGCGCGTTCTACCTCGTTTCGGGGTGTTCTAGTTCGCTCGCACATGCGAAAGCGAGCGGGAACACGAACGCGAACGAAAACGCAAATGGGAACACAAACAGCGCGAACGCCAACCCAAACCCAAACGCAATTTCAAACGGGTCCACGAACCCCACCACCCCAAACACAAACACAACCGCAAACCCCCATCTAACCTTCCTCAAAGACCACCCCCTCCCACACGCCACACACGCCCTCGTATGGTCCACCCTCGGGCGCACAGCTCTCGCCCAAGTCTTAACATCCACCTCCGCCGGCCAGGCGATCTTCGGGGGCCGCAAGCAGCTGGAGGCGCACCTCTCCGGGCCGGCGGCATACCTTGCGTTGCTCGTGGTGTTGGACTGTGTCCATGTTTGCGTGCGCGCGCTGCGGCTGGGGTCGGGGTCGGGGACTCCGCGGATGTGGGTATCATTGACGAGGGTCCGGGGGTGGGGTGGATTCGTCGTTGCGCTCGCGGGGGTGGGGTTGGTGGTGTGCACGTACCTCAACGTAACAGAAGGCTGCACCGGAACCTTCAAGTTCCCCGATGTGCTGGTATCGGCACTCGACCGCCCCCTCCCCGACGCCCCGCTCTCGTGCATCATCGCATACACAATCGGCGCGCACTGGCTCACGATCAAAGCTTCACTATCACCAACTCCCACTCCCATCTCGCGCTTGATCTTCCCCTTCGTCCTAGCCGCGTCCTACACTTTCCTCACCCTCTTATCCCTACTCTCGCCCTCTATCTCGCGGTACATCCAACCCGATCGCGCCAAACCTCCTCTCGCTCTCCCTCCTCCCTCCTCCTTGACCCCCGTTCCTCGAGGCCGCACACTCCCACACGCAGGCCCGAACGCCCACACACTCGCCTTCATCCTCTGGGACGTCCTCACATCCCTAATCCTCCCCCTTGCTCTCCTTTGGCTCTTCTCCTCCTCCTCCTCCGCCTCCCTCCTCCGTCGCCCATGGGCCGTCCGATCCCAAGGAACATGGAAGAAGGGGTACGCGCTTACGTATGTGCATATGGTCCCTGTGCTGGTGGTCCGGAAGGTGCTTTCGGGGGTGGGGATGAGGATGGGTGAGCTGGTGCGGGTAGGAGTGGTCGTGGCGGTGGCGCTCGTGATGGCGTGGGGGGTTGTGAGGGGTGTGGAGGTGGTAGTTGGGCGGGTTGTGCGGGTTGTGGGATTGGTTAGGCGGAGGTGGAGGTAGGTAGGTAGTATCGCAGAGTTTGTAGTGCGAAGTTCGGAATTTAAGTTTATCGGTGCGAGAGCGAGCGAGCGAGGAGTGGTACGGTGTATCATACGATATAGTACGCAACTCGTCTAACCTCGTTTAACAAACATTTTTGCGTTCTGGAATCGAACAATCGCCATAGGTATTTATGTACTTTAGTTATCGAAAATCAAAAATCAAATATGATCATGACAATTCGTATTGGGTTGACGAACAGAAGTAATAGTAATTGGACACTTGCCGCTGTTCGTGGATGTAGGGCCCCGGTCTTACCATAAGGATTAGATATCAGATATTAGATATTGAGCGCTCGTGTAGACTAAGGGTCATGAGAACGTACAAGAGAGCTGACAACGGCGCCGCCGACTCCCGAGTCAGCCGAGAGAGAGAACTCCATGGACAGTGAGGCGAAAAAGAACCGAACGTTCGACTCTGGGATTCATGAAAAGAATGGAATGAACCGAAGCTGATAAAGCCGTTGATAGAGCATGAGTACTGAGTATTGGGCGTTATAGGATCTACTCCAACTACTACCAGTATGTATCGGTTCCGAAGCAGCTACGATCGTGGCAGAATGCAAAATTACCTTTACATAATAATAATATTCACCTCGTATAGTAGGCTGGTTCAAGCCGGAACTTGAATTACGGGACACTTTCAATGGGCTATGTAATTCAGAGGAAGAGGAATGAATTACTTACAAGAGATGAGGCCTGTGCTACACCCGAGCATGCCGGGGCCCGGTGGAGTAGTGCCGGGTAGAGTACACGAGGCTCTCGAGCTCCAAATGAGGCATCCGCCGGCACCGAAGTTCGTCAGCGCCGGCGGCATCCTCAGCTAGCAATAGAAATGGAGTCAAGACGAAATAGGAAGTTGTGGATCCCTCCCCCCCTCCTTACCTTATCCAGACGTATGATTCAGCAGCATGATGCACCAGACTAGCCTAAATAACGACGACACTACCACCAACGACAACGACAACGACGTTAGCGCCCCCATCTTCCTCCCCCACCTCGTCCCTCACCTGTTCGGTTCTCGCCGCTCATCCCGCCGCTCGCAGTCCCATTCTCGACGTCGTGGACCGAGTCCATCCCATCTCGTCGTCATGTCGCACTCGATGCCCCAAGACCAAGGTGCGTAGCTTTCTTGTTCTAATAGAAACCCACCTCATGCTTTCTTTGGATGTACCCTTCAAATGAGCTAACACAGTATTAGCTATAGTATTGCGTATATAGTACACTGTGTACACACTGATGGAAAGAGAGAAATATTGGTCCCCGGTCTCGTCACGCAACTTCAAGCTCAATACGCCCAAGTCGCCCGAGATCCCGATGCGCTCGAAGCGGGGACTTGGAAGCAGGCCGTGGAAGATGTTATGAAGTTGCATATTGAAGTGAGTTAGAGGTGATTATGAGCGAGGCAGAATGCAGGGAGCGGAGAGCAGGTGAGCGCCGAGGAGGTGAGGCCGAAGTCGAAGTCGGCGAAGTGGGAATGTAGGTATTAGGGGTGGAAAGGACAGGCTAGAAGGGTACACGAAATGGTACCGCGAGTGTGTTTGATCACAATTCAAAGAGACGAATGTACACGAAACGCTCGAGATAAATCTACACAACTTTCATACCTCGAATCACATCCGACCACCGACCACCGACCTCCCACTCCCAAACTGCCCACTACCTAATACTCAGACTCACGAAGCAAACGCACCAGGTATCGGCGGCGACTGCCTCGGCTGACCCGGCAGGGGGTGCAACCACCACCACCACCACCACCCTCCGCCACAACATGCCCTTCCTGCGTATGCCCCTCTCGTGCCCCCGGACGAAGGACAGCCGGGACACTCCCACCCGGGTTCGCAGCACCACCCCTTGCCCCGGTAGAAATCGGAGTGGGAAGCGCAGCGGCAGCGGAAGGAGCTTGGTGGGCGTGGGCGTGGGCGGGAGGTGGAGGATGAGGGAAGACGTACATCATCGGGTGGTACCCCAGTGGTGGAGGTGGTGGTGGTGGGTAAAACGAGTTTAGAGCGTGCGCAGGTGCGGGAGTGCTAGAGTTTGCGGGAGGAGGCTGAGTGTTACCATTGGCATTGGCGTTGGGAGGCTGAGACGGGGTAGGGTGTCCAGGTGGAAGGAGCTGTGTCGTAGGTCCACCAGAACCAGCACCACCTGGACCAGCAGGAGGTATAGCATTTGCCGCTGGCGTCATGGGCATGGGCATCGTCGCATAGTTCAAAGAATACGCCGGAAAGACGTAAGGGAACATCGGCGGTGCGAGCGACGTCGCGTCCGTCGTCCCTGTTATGCCCGTGTCGAGCGTCGTTGTCGTCTGTCTTCTCTTATGCCGCTGGGCGTGGTGGTGGCGCGAAGAGTGCCCGTGCCCGTGCATATTTCGTCGTCGATGCGTATGCCTATGGTGGTGGTGATGACGGTGTCGAGGCGTCTGTTTTCTCGCCGCCCCGTGGTGATCGAACGTCAGCCCAAGCACGCTCCTCTTCGACGCCTCACTGCTCAGCAAGTCCAACCCCGAACTGCTCCTCTGCGAGCGCCGCATCAGGGAAGGATACCAAGTCTTGTTTTTCCTTGCACCCATCCGCTTCTTCTCTCTCTCCCTCTCGCCCTTGCTCCCATCCCTTATCCCCGCCCAGGCCTTCGCCCTCAAACCCTTCCCTCCCACACGAAACCCTCTAAGAACACCGACACCTTCTCCAGGGGTATAGTCCACGGTAACACGATCGTGCGAGATCCACGGCATGTGGTAGAGGACCTTGAAGAACCTCTCCACAGGGGAGAGCTGCGACGAGAACGAAGGATCTGAGGAGAACGACGTCCCACTGATACTGGGTGTGCGGGTGCGGGTGCCACCGTAGCCGTCATCGGAATGGACGTGATGAGAGTGCGAGTGGTGGTGCGAATGTGAATGGTGGGAAGGCTGCGAGCGCAGGGAGGGAAGGCCCATCTTTGCGTAGTCGGACGCGGGCTGGGGCTGGACGGAGACGGGCGTGTCAGGTTCGTGGATGCACCCTGCGGCGGGTGGAACGGCTGTCGTGATCGCGGGAGGTCCTGAAGCAGGGGGAGCATCGACAGCGACAGGAGGAAGAGGCGTGGTAGAAGGACGAGGAGGCGTAGGCGTAGGCGTGCGAATTGCACTCGGTATCAACGCCGCGGGCGTCGTTCTCCGTGGAGGTGGGGGTTGAGGAGTATGTTGCGTAGCTTGTGACGCAATAGACACACGAGCGTTTGCATTCGTGTTCGCATTTACCGTCGCTGTCTCCGTAACCGAGCTTCTCTGCGTTCCACTTTGGAATGACAACGGCCTCACGGGCTGCAAAGGTGTTGTGGGTACCGGATTAATTGCGGGTGGGAGTGGGGGTGGATCATCCGTGTGGTTTTCGTCCGAGAACGCGTGATCCCTCGCACTCAAACCCTCCTCGCTGACATACGACAACGCCGGTGCGCTGCTCAGACGCGAGACCACCGGAGGCGGGGTCTTATTCGGCAGATTATTTGCGTAAGTCGAAACAGTTGGGAGAGGAGGGAGTGGCGGTCCAGAGTACCGACTATACTCCCTCCCGACGTCTCTATCTCTCTCGGGGTTGAAAGATTGGTCGTACACCATGTACGTCGTCCGTTCCGCGGGAGAGTCGAATTGATCCTGGCCTTGGTGCTGAGGCTCGTCGTTCGTATGTGTGTCGGGCTCTGAGGGTGGTGGGATTCGGTACCCACGATTCCCCGTCCCACTGCTCAGGTTATTCATCCTCGACATCGACAGCGAGTCGGACAGGCGAACAACATCGGGCATCGCCGTCTTCTCCGATGTTTGCCTCTGCAACCCCAGCGCGTTATGGATATTCGCCGTGGGCGTCCCGAGCCGGGCAACCTGCGGCGTCGACGTCTGCGAGGCATACTGCGGGAGCGTCTCGAGGTCCTCCTCACGCTCCCTTTCCCTCCTCACCTCCCCATACTCTGTCGTACTCCCTTCCGTACCCGACCCAAACACCACCCCTGGCGCCGTCGTGATCGTCCCACCCCTCTTCCCCACCCCAACACCATACCCAAACACCGAGTTCGGCAGCCTCTTCACACTCTTCAAGAACCTATTGACCACAGATTTCTTCTTTGGCCGAAGCTGGGAGGCTCCCTGGGCGGATGAAGACTCTCCTGAATTGGATCCCAGGTCGGTGCGGAAACGATTCTGGAGGGGGGACGGACCGGGCCCGCGGTCGATCGCGAAATACCCATCTGTGCCTCTTCCATTCGCACCTCCGAGCTCATTGACAGGCGTTGGGGTCGTGTTGACAACCCTAAACGGTCCTCTTCCTCCATCAAACGCCCGCGGATAGGGATTAGGCAACGGCCTCGAGATCGTGCGTTGCACGAAAGGTGCGGGTGGCGAGCGTACGGATGGTGGGGGTGGGGCTGCGCGAGGGGGTCTTGCAGGTGCAGCGTGCATCCCTTCTCCCGGGCGCGCTAGAGCTAGATACGGGTCTGCTGGTTCCACCAACCTCTCTGAAGCAAATGGTCGAGGTGAACGAGGTAGTGATTGTGCTGCTGGAAGAGGTGCGAGAGGGAAAGAAGCTACTGGTATAGGAGGCGGAGGTGCAGCGGGTCGAGTAGGAGGAGGAGGCGTAGGCTGAACGTTCTGGTTGTAAGGATAGACCCAGGAGCGCGTGTTGCCTCCAGCGCCGTTCCGCGTGTACGCCGACGCGGAGCTGGGGGTGCGTGTGTGCATGGAAGGGTAGCGTGACATCCTGGATATAGCCGTTAGCGCAAGATGAGGGTTGGGAGGAGTGATTTTGCGTACTTTTATGCGCATATAGTCACCCTATACTACTCGGAGAGAACGGAGAGGGTGCCAATGAGGTAGGAGGCCGATGAGGGGTGTAGTCGAGAGTGGAGATGAAGATAAGTATGTCACTGCCCGTGCCAGCAAGGAATTATACTCACCACACGGGTGGAGCGTGTCGTCCTCCACTAATCCACGGAGCGAATTCTTCAAGCCCAAGCGCAAACGCGCGGTTGACTGTCGCTCGCAGGCGTCCTGCGTGGTGCATGAAGAGGGTCCGCTCTCAGGTGAGATGAGAGTATATAGGACTGGGACTGGGGTGTGCCAGCATCGAGGGTGGGCCTCGAGGCCAACTTCCGAACGCGTGCAACTTCATACTTCTACTTACTTACTCTAGCTGCAGTTGGTATAGTAGTCCTGCCGAGTCCGCTATCCTGGGAATCATTCCAGCCACTGCCGGTGGTTAGTATTTCCGTTCTCCACGCAGGTCTGCCTAGCAGAAATACTTGCTCTAGTCACGATTCGCGATACGGCTCCCTCGGATTCTCTCCTCTCTCCGTATTCTTGCGGATATCGGAGCATCGGGTGCGTAGCTTCCATCGGGCTCGGAGACGAGGCATCCAGGGCATAGCTGAGAACATCGCTTCCGTTCCATGGTAAGCAATGACGGTTGGAAGATAAGGTTGGAACAAGAAGATGGATGCTCACATGTATGTACCAGCTTACAGCAAAGCAAACGTCGCAGCAAAGACACCGAGAGAAAGGCTCAAGTTCAGCACGAAGGGCCCGTGCGCCGTTGAGAAAGACGTCGACGTGGGGGGGCGAGCTCCGAGAGTGCAGGTGTAAGATGGAAGGGATGATGTCTCAGAGTTCGGTCCTCGGCTCCGGGTCGTAAATCTCCGAGAGCCCGAGATAAGATCTACTTAGTGAGAGATAAGATGAGGGCACGTCGAACTCCGAGCTCGTTATTTGACACAGCTGAGTACGTTACTAAATATTCACAGCGGCCTGGAATGAGAACCTATTTTGGCATACTTGCTCGTGCACGATCTGATCCTTGCCATGTTCACTGATCAACAGCTTTTCACTCAAATTTCGGACGTGAACAGGAAGTTTGTGCCGCATTGATATTGAGCTCTCTCAGAGGCGTTCCGTCTGTTTTTTATAGTCCGACTTCACGTTTCTGCTCCTCTGATATTTTTTAAAGAAAATCTGCGGCCCAGAAATAATCTATCTATTCACGTGAGCTCCCTATAGCGAGAAGGGGGGCTTCGGCGCCAACTATCTCCTAACCTCAGGTGAATTACGCAAAGCAAATTGTTTCTTCAAGAAAATCTAGCAGTAGAGATCGCCGTGGCTTTTTTCTTGTACGGAGCTGCTTGAGCTCAATTTTGCCGCTGAGAGTGTTCGCTTCTCAATGGTCCAATGCTTGTTCACTGGCGAAACTTTGATTTATATGCCTTAGTTTTAAACTAATTCTAAAGGAATGACGCGGGTACATACATACGTCCGGACGTGATGTCAGCAGAATTCGAACGAGTAGAATTTGAATAAAGGAACGTTTCGAACCGTCGTGATGCACAGAGGTTCCTTGGGTTATTAATGCTACGACACAACCGGGTATTGGAATTTGGCGCATACAGGAGCACTGCTCAGTTTTATGCATGCTCAACGTGGTAGTGGGAGCCAAGTATGTAGGTTGAACGTTGGGGGTTTGGACGACGTCGACGTGAGAGACAGCACTCACCGAGCTGCCAATGCCGATAAGATAAGATAAGATCATGGAGAGGAAGGAAATTTTTCCGTCCGCCGCGGTTATGACATCTCATGTACATTACATTACCTAGCGAGTGGGCGGTATTTTCGTTTGCGTTCCATACTTACATAACCGCCAGGCTTTGACTGGGGTGTCTTGTGTCTACAGTACTCTATATGGCGCCCCTGCGCTACTACATAGTGCTTCATTCTCAGCCTACTTGTTCCGTGGTAGACAGCGACCTATTAGTATCAGGTCGTCTGTATACTACTCTACTCTATATCTCAAGCACTTGTAAGAGCGGGATCTCCTTCGAAGGTTAGGACCCGGGCATACGCCCCAACGGAAATGAGATATGTAACGAAGGATGAGTTCAAGCAGATAAGATAAGATCGAAGCCGGACCGACCAACCTGTATTGGCCCCAGCCCAGCTCTCAACTTCGTCAACGTCGACGTTTCTTCCATCAAAAGATCCCCGTTCGCCCTTGCTACGTACACCGCACAGGCTCTAAACCAAGGACCGTACCAGCGCTAACGATGTCAATAGACAAAACGAGAATCGCGGTTGTCTGTGCCCGGGCCCCAGGCTGCTCCCAACTCGTAACGTCACCTCGGACACGCGCGCGCAGTCTTGGTGCTATAATAGCATCCAGTGTCCACGTTCGAGCTCTGCAGAGGTTTGCGGGAGGACGGTCCACCTGGAGGCTGGCTGGAGGGTGGAGGGTGGATGAGTGGATGGATGGGTGTAAGGATGAGGTCGTGGGGAGGATGGGATGTGTGACGGGCGGATGGTGAGGGTGAGGGTGAGGGCGAGGGCGAGGGTGAGGGTGAGGGTGAGGGTGAGGCGAGGGTGAGGGCGAGGGTGAAGCGGGAGGCGGTTCGTGGACGGGAGGGGGGAGCAATGGAGGGAGCAAGGGAAGGGAGGAAGGAAGGAAGGCGGGGTGAGTCCCGCGGACATTGACATTGATAGCCCCTGGTTACGGATATATGACGAACCACGGACCACTCGGACGCCCTCTACCAAGTCCAAGTCCAACCTCCCACCCATCTCCGCCCAGCCCCAGCCCTCAATCCAAGCTCGTACTGCTCCACTCCACTCTCCGCTGCTACCGTGCACGGTGCCGGGTGCCATCGTCGACCGACCTCATTCTCCTGCCAGTCATGAGTCAACCGGTACCCCGCGTGGCCTTCCATCCTCTTCAGTCTTCTGCGCGTGCTCGCCCTTTGCTGTTCGTCCTCTCTACATCCCTCATCGCTGCTGCCGCTGCCGCCGCTGCCCAGGCTTTCGCCCGTCCCTCCCTTCGCCTCTACCTCCCACTCTGAACCCGCCAACTCCAGTCTCGTCAGCGCTCAACACGGACACGAACATTCATTCATTCCAGATAAATACCCGCCATTCAAACCCACCTTGCCCTGCCTCGCCTCCCCACGGCCGTCTTCCGCCTTCACTCCATCCTTCTTCTCACCAGAGGCTGCGATTACAGATACGTATTCACCACGTCGGACGGACAGGAGCTCGAGCTCGAGCGAGCTCGCACGACTCGTGTACCTACCCTTTCGTATACCTTCACGGTGCCTGCTAGCGCTCAGCCGTCGACGCAGGGGCAGGTGCTATCACTAGTCTAGCCCCCCAACGCTAGTCCCCCAACACTTCCCCCCCACCCCCCGGCAGGCTGAGCCCATCCTACGCCTTCGCATTCTCAGATCATGCAACGGCCACACACACACCAAGGTACCGGTCGAATGCCCATCCAAGTCGCAAGTCTCCAACTTCCAACTTCCAACTTCCAACGCCACTTCATGATCAAGAGCTAACTAACTCCATCGTCCAACGCCAACACTTTAAATGCCAAACGCCGACTCATGCCCATGGGTGCTTAATATGACCCTGCCACGAACGATGGTATCCTTCCGCTACCGATACCGATGGGCCATTATGCGTTATGCATTACCGGTTACCAGTACCAGCCCAGCGGGCGGCGGGCCCCGGGCCCCGGGCCTGCGACGCACGAACGAACGAACTTGCTCGTCCTCAACCCCGCCGCCACCATCCCGCCCTCTGAACCTCCCTTTCATGCACGATCAGGATCCACCAACCATCCCGCCCTCTCCCTCCCTTCCAGGATCCACGAACCATCCCGCCCTTTCCCCTCCCTTGCACACTAAGGTGATGACGTTAGGAGGAAGAGGAGCCTGGAGGATCCGACGTTAAACGTCGAACATTCTCTTCGCGAGTCCCGGACGGTCTCAATTCTCAATTCTCAATTCTAGACCTTCGTGTCCGAGTCCGAGAGTGCAGAGACGCCGAGAGAAAGGCTAAAGTTCAGCACGAAGGGCCCGTGCGCCGTTGAGGTCGCACAGACGGACGTGTGCCTTGTGTATCGCCCCACTCTGGTCTTGCTTGTACTCGTCGCGAGGACAAGACGATCTTCAACAGGACTAACCCAGAAGCGCACGTTGTGGCAGACGCGATCGCCGCCTTTCAATCCAACAACGCAAAGCGAGGAGCGAGCGGCCTCCCGGCGCTAAACGCCATGACCTATCCCTTGTATGTAGAGTATCACCATGACCGGTACCCGTCCTGCCTTCTATCTTGTCCCGGTCACTCAAGAGCTGAACGACGCTATCACCACCGGCCAATACCCTGCGACTCAAACTCTCAAGTCAAACTCAAGTGCGTTACGACGAGAGTACACGCCCGGACCACCAGCGAAGGAATGGAGGATACCGAATATCGAAAACTCGCTCTCGAGCGCCTACTCGCCTTCAAGACGCTGGCGAAAAGCCATCGGGAACAATTTTTAGACGGTTTCTAGGTGACTTGTTGTTGGTTTGGTGGCGGAACTGGGTTTGGTAATTCGTTGTCGGGTGTGATGATTTGGAAAGTTCAAAGCAGGCATGTGTTATGCTTCTCAAGGAGATGGGCCGCTGTGTTGTTCATTGTACTCGTGTGAGTAAAGACAATTTTCAGTGATTACATTTCCTAAGCGCGGACTTGGAAGTCACAGCAACTTACATAGGTGGTGCTCCGAGCTCGGTGTTGGATTTTGTGGAACCAGTACGCAATAGCAAACTGGGCAAATACTCTCAGAGATCCTGATGCAATGTATAGATGGAGTAGAGAATGCGCAAGGCTCGAAGGGAGAGCTCGAGCCGGAACGCAGCCGTTTAATGGCTTGGGCGGGCGCGCAAATGGGCGGTTCCAGGTTGTGCATGGGATGGGATGAGGGAAGAGGGGGGGGTCCAGGGTAAGTCCGAGTCCGAGTCCGAGTTGCAATGAAGACGCGTCGATGAGCGTAGCTATGCGGGCAGAGAGAGAGAGAGAGAGAGAGTGGCGTGAGGCCTGGCAGGATGCGAAGCGCGTCGTAGCATTAAATTTCCTATTCCTCACACTTCAAGTTTCTTTGGGACGTCCTCTAGAGGTACCGACCATCAACGTTATTAACATCAGCACCCGTCCCCAATATTCAATCCTAACCCCCTCCCCACCGCCTAATCAGCTCCAGCGTCAGCTTCACACCCCATCCCCGATCTCGTCATGCAACTTCCAGTTCTATAACATAACATAACATAGTACGCCCAAGTTGCCCGAGATACCGCTGCGCTCGAAGCGCCGAGCGGGTACTTGGATGGAGACCGTGGAAGAGGTGATGGAGATGCATATTGAGGTGATGAGGGCTGAGATTGGGGATAGAGTGAGAGGTGAATTTGAGAGGCGGGGAGGTTGGGGCAGGGCGAAGTGGGCACGTAGGTTGGGGTGACAAGAGCAGGGACTTCTGAGACGACGACGAGTCGGTGTGTTCAAACATTGAATCGCCCTCATTCGACTTGAATCCATCTTGGACAGGAACACGATGATGTTACACGAGTTTCATATACATCGGAATTTTGATAAACGAAGCCCACTAGTTCGAGATACCGTACGACAGCGAACTTAGTCGCTATACTCGTCGTCGTCGTCTTCGTCCTCCCCCTCTCCTCCCTCAAGCCACCTCTGCTCTGGCTTCGCACCCATCCACGCCAAATAAATCCTCTGCATGGCCGTCATCATATCCTGGGTTGCACTGTCGCTTATCCACGCAAAGTCTCTCTCGAACGCGATGTCCGAGTCATACAGTTGCGAAAGCTTCCTCCCCGTGTCGATGATGACGATGTGGGGTGGGATGCGGGAGGTAATGGGAGGGAGGGAGGTGAAGGGGTAGGCGTGCTTCGTGGTGCCGTGTGCGATGGAGAAGGTGGGGGAGTTCATGGTGGGAAGGGGGACAAGGCGGTACTACTGG